ATCATACCAAATAAAGTATTTTCGTGTATTATTTATTTTTCACATAAAGCATAGAGTCCAATTACCTGAAATAACGTTCAATATTTTAATACAAAGTACGGGTGGAACCCTATCTACAATAGACATTTAATATAATTTCGGATTACGAAGATAGCTAAAGCATTAACACCAAAACAATGCTGTGATCAGATTAGATTACTGTCTAACTAACTAGGTACGTGGAATCAAGGCTTGTACGTTTTATCGTTGAGTCTAATCTATGAGCAGTTTTATCTTCTATGGAACGACAAACAAGTATTGCAAAACCATATCAAAGCTAGGAGCCAGATGTGAAATGAAAATGTGGATGTGTTGCTTCACGGCTCGGTGATTTCGGTATAGCCGCTAACTATGCTGGTGTACAAATTGGGTCTGGGTAAACCGATCGATTCCCATTTGGAAATGGATACGGAACTTTCCCTAGCAGAGTATCCTAGGCCGGCTTTACCGAACTTACCGAGTTGAGTATCAATATTCCACGCACATTTTATATTGTAGGATATTGAAGTTTGTAATCAGAGGCTGCGGTGTAAGTAGCCTGGCATTTCCGACGTCCACGAGATATGGTAGCCACTCCCCGACAGTGGATTTAGAACCGTAGATTTAGATTTTGACTCTGAAAGAGGACACTACAAGACGCCTACAGGCATTCGAGATGTGTTGCTACCGTCGCATGTTACGCATTAGTTGAGCGCAGAGGGTCAGGAACGAAACCGTGCTTCAGCGCGTTCATATGTCCCGGAAAATGTTGCCTTCTATCAAAAAGCGCAAGATAGAATATCTCAGCCACGTGCTCAGGAACGATAGGTACCGGCTGCTGCAGTTGATAATGATGGGCAAAGTGGACGGAAAGAGACGTGCTGGGCGAAGAAAGAAGTCATGGCTCCGGAATATCCGGGAGTGGATCGGTATTGCCTCCGTCGAACAACTGTTCCGGCTGGCTGCTGATAGAGATGAATACAGGAAGCTAACGGCCAACCTTCAGGATTGAAGAGGCACTGGAAGAAGAAGAAGAATTCAAATTGTTTCGGTTAGCTTAACTAACCACGTAACACCACATGCCCACTGAGTTTCTCGCCGGATCTGCTCAGTGGGTCGCGTTTCCGATCCGATGGTAGATTCTGCGAAGCACTGCTCTTGCTAGGGTCAGTGTTAGCAACTCTCTGGTTGAGCCCCGCGAGCTCACCTACAAACGTTAGGGCGAAGCTGAAATAGCCTCTCAAGGCTATCAGCATAGGTAGGAAAAAAAACACCACAAATCAGCATCAGCAATCGGTATACGTACTATTATTACCTAAAGTTTATTTGCATTTCGAAGTAATAGATGACCGTACGAGTTTTTCATTAAAACAATATTCATAATTAGAAAATTATCATTTATTAAAAACATTTGTACAATACTTTTAGTATTACTTGAACAATGTTCAGATTATCTTATTCAATATAACCTAAAAATATTGATATGCTAAACGTATATTGGTAAAATTAAAAACCTTATAACGTACTAAGTAGCTTGAAGCTCTGTAGCTTTAATATATTTATAATACATAGAAAAGGATACACAAGTTCTGAGTTTGGCTATAACACCGTCCAAACATCTTTCAGCATTTTTTTGTACTACAGACATCATTTAAAACAACTTTTACGGTTTAGTCTTGTATTTTTATTGTTCTCACTATTTTATTCTCGACGTTTATATAATATAAGACCGTCACCACGAAAGTTTTATAATAAGACTAAACAATAAAATTAATTTTAAATATATCTTTTAGCATTCAAAAATTAAGAAAACAGGCGATCGACTCCATGTTACCTTAACTCGATTACTTACCAAGATAATCTTGGATGTCCATACAACAGATCGATACATACACATACGTACCTACTTCACAAAATCTCAGTCCTTAAGGCATACGTACTTAAAATAAAATTTGAAAGGAATTAAATTCATAATCTTATATTGATTAATCACGACCCTGTCGATACCTATGAGACAGTTATTTTAAAAGCTTTACGTGCCTATCACCTTTTTTACCATTTCACTCCTGCCACTGGAATGAACTAGGTACATTTGCGCTAATCAGCACATTTCATGGTCCCAATACTATCTGTCTTGACATATCTTTCTTCAGAAGAGATTTGGAAAGAGTACTTAGAGTTAGACAGCGGATTAGCTGGGCCACTGACGCTGAGGATGATAAGCGAAGGCACGAGTATATATCTAATTAAAAAGTATAAATATATGTACCTACATGTACATATGTATCTAGTGGGCCATAAGCCTGTATGTCTTCGCAAAACAATAAAACAAATTTGCATATAATTTACATGGAAAACCAATCGACTCATATAAGTAGCCATATATTATATGATAGTATTTTACAATCAAATAATTGTCTTAAAAAAAACGATTTCCATACCCAAAATAGGCCATTCGCACATACAACCATTTCTTGCTCATAAGGTTTAACCAACTGACGGCCCGTCTAGTGTGAAGTGGTCACCGAAGCCCATAGACATCGGCAACGTAAATGGCGCCACCCACTATCAAACACAAGTTCTAAGTCTCATTTTTTAAATACAACGGTACGGCTGCCCGACCTGTCAAATTGAAACGCATTACTGCTTCACGGCAGAGATAGACAGGGTGGTGGTATCTATCGATGCGGTCTCATATAACCTCCTGCCACCAGTAAAAGCTTGATGGAAACTCTCCCGCATAAAGTAATAACATTAGACCACACTGATTTATTACCTTTATCTCTCTTATCATAGATATTTGTGTGCGTAGCCGGTTGGACCGCATTCGTTATGATAATTATTCGTCATTAATTTAACTTAATCAGTATATTTTATCTTGGTATTTTTTAACGTTGCACATTAATCGTAGGCTCGTGTATAATCTATGGTAGGCTCCACTACATTTTTTTACAAAATATAAGACAGATAATCTATAAAGAATTATAAGGATAAGAATTTAAGCACATAGTTCTTTATATATACCTTCCCAAGTACGTTGACCTTTTTAGAGCTGACCTCATTTTCATATATTTTGGAGAAAGTTCTATAGGATTTATTGAAAAAAGTATTCTATCAAAAAGTTTATCTAATTGAAAAAAAAAAGTACTAAAATCAATGCTAAATTCACAGAAAAAATTAGTTTTAATTGTTATTTATAAGTGTTATTAACACGTCCGTAAAAATAGATACCTAGTGTCTATAATCAAACTGCGCAATAGTCTGTATTACGACGCTCCGCGCTTTATACGCATTAATAGATATAACAAATTGCGCAAACCGTCTATAGATTGACTATAGACGGTTTGCGCAATGTGTTAAGAAACCAGTACAATACTTTATCGCCACTTATAAAGTAAACAACACACATTATTTTAAGATTGTATATTTTACTTGAAAGTAGTTACTACTAGTAGTAACTTAAGTTACTAGTAGTAATGTAGTATAGTTTTATTTATCTCTAGATCAAGTAATGAGGTCGGGGTCCTTCTGATGTTAAACTTTTACCAGAGCCCATAGATACCTATCAACGCAAAAGTCGTCCTTTACGCACCGTTAAATTTTACGATTTTCATTTTTAACGTAGGTACTTCATTAATCCACCATCGTGAAAGAGTTAAAAGGTCAGATATTGAACCCTTACTTGCACGGTAAACAAAAAAAACAAAAACAATGACAAATGGTATTAGTCATTCCGGGCACTTTTTTTTTAATAAACCAAGAAAATTCACTCTGGGGCAACAGTTGCACGATTCAGGTGATTCGAGCAGCGCCATCTATTCGGGAAAACTCCAATACTGATGATGTAAATATGTATATGTGTTTAAGATAATATAGACAGAAATAACTTCACACTGGACGAAACCCTGTCACGCCACAATTCATTTTAATTTATTAGCGCACTATTTATAGCCTATGAGTTTCTCTTTGACAATTAAAAAATCTTGTTTTAGACACGATAACAATAAGAAAACAAGAATAATGGCTTAATAAAAAAGTATCCTAAATACCTTAAAATTACAATTCCAACAAATTAATTGACGTTATTATTAATACAACTTTATTAATAATGGAAGGCGTGCTTAAAGCTATTGAAGGTTTACTTTTAAAAATTCAAAGGCAGCGCGCGGAACAATTACCCTCACATCTACAAAATATCGTTATTACTCGATACTTTAAAACGACCATTGAATTCTTATTTTAACGTACAATTTTATTTAATCAAGGACATGATGAACCATTTTTGCTTTTGTGTGAGTGTGTACTAAAGTAAATTGAATTTTTACTAAAATTATACGGAAGAAGTTAATCTACGCCATCAGTATGCTTTCGCAAGTTCTGTGCAACTTCTCTTCGTTTGCCGCTGGGGGCGCTGTTCCAACTCCATACAATTTTGAGTTAACTTTTACGCGATCGAGAAGTTAAAAAACTCGCACTAAGCACACAGTTCTGATAATATTAACAAAGCCAACTCATTTGATATACTTTACGTATGACAGATTTGATTTTAGTAAGCATTCGAATTAATAGCTTAGAACTTCGGGAGCAATGACCTGACAATAATGCTTTCGAATCTGAAAGGCTCGATGGCGGATGTGACAATGTTACTCCGACCTTTATAATATATAATGTCTCAAACTGGCGACGGCATTCGAGTTAAGGCAAGTACGGTCCCCGGTGGCGCCGCGTGTCTGGTTGTAGTGTTGACCGCGGGAACCCCCCTACTCTGTCCAGGCTCTGACCCCGGACGGAGATCGGACGTCGGGTGTAAGAGTGCAGGGGAGTCGTTTAGTGGGTGGGCCCTAAAATCCTTGGGCCCGCGATCTGCTCTCAACACCTGCAGATCGTTAAGTCTGACATACCCCGCGCGCCCCCTAGGCGCGGGGACCTCGTAGGAGGTTCGGCCCTCGGCCCAAAAAAAAAAAAGAAAAAAAAAAGTACGGTCCCCGGTAACGGCTTACCGTCCGACGGCCTACCCACATACGCTAATAAATACAAAAATACAAATTAACAATAAAATACCCGTTATTAAGTTGTATTTGTATTTTTACTATCAGATGTCATTGACCCACACCCACACAAACGCAAAGTTCGCACTTAGAGTTCGAACATTTTCCCTAGAACTGCTTAACAAGCTTGCAATTACGTAAAAGTAAATGCACTACGATGATTGTTTATCTATTTTTATTATTAATACGCAATACGTTGAGTAAAATTAACCTTAATGATCACCTCGGATCATTTGCGTCCGTAAACACGCACCCTCGGAAGTTCCTTCCCTTCGGGCACTGGAAGGAGTTTCTATACTAAAGGATGAGTTTTTTCCTTTTCGTTTTTCCATTGAGCTGTTTCTGAGCTTTCCGACTTTGGTTTCCTGTGATTCAAAATAGATAAACAGCTATATAACTAGTCAGGTCATAAGTATTGTCACACAGTAAAAACTTTTCTTTTAGAATGCTGGCCACAAAAAAGTTTATTGAATTCGAATTTCGAATTGTTCATGAAAATAAAAATTTATACTTTTAGAATTTTACTCATTTTTAATTATGGAGTGGACTCTTAAAGAAGACCGTGTTGCAGTTATTGCGTTGCATCGTTGCGGTTACGCGCCAATTCAAATTTTTAACATACTGAAAATTTTGAATATAACCAAAAGATTCGTTTATCGTACCATCAAACGATACAATAAAGACTCTAGTGTAGATGACAGGTCAAGAAGTGGTGGCCCTCGGTCTTTTAGGACTCCAGCAGTGATAAAAGCTGTGAAGGCGCGAATTCAAAGAAATCCCAAACGTAGGCAGAAACTGTTGGCCCTTCAGATGGGGTTATGCAGAACGACGATGAAAAGGGTGTTAAATGAAGACTTAGGGCTTCGGGCATATCGAAGAAAAACAGGACATCGTTTGAATGCTCGTCTAATGGACCTGAGACTGAAGAGATGCCGCGCTTTGTTGAAGCGGTACGCGGGAAAAAAATATCGGGAAATTCTTTTTTCGGATGAAAAAATTTTTACCGTAGAAGAGAGCTACAACAAACAAAATGATAAGGTGTACGCACACAGTAGTGAAGAAGCGAGCAACCGTATTCCGCGTGTCCAACGAGGTCATTTTCCATCCTCGCTCATGGTATGGTTGGGAGTTTCTTATTGGGGCTTAACAGAGGTACATTTTTGTGAGAAAGGTGTAAAAACGAATGCAGTTGTGTATCAAAATACAGTCCTGACGAACCTTGTGGAACCTGTTTCTCATAACATGTTCAATAACAGGCACTGGGTATTCCAACAAGATTCGGTGCCAGCTCATAGAGCGAAGAGCACACAAGACTGGCCGGCGGCGCGTGAAATCGACTTCATCCGGCACGAAGACTGGCCCTCCTCCAGTCCAGATTTGAATCCGCTAGATTACAAGATATGGCAATACTTGGAGGAAAAGGCGTGCTCAAAGCCTCATCCCAATTTGGAGTCACTCAAGACATCCTTGATTAAGGCAGCCGCCGATATTGACATGGACCTCGTTCGTGCTGCGATAGACGACTGGCGGCGCAGATTGAAGGCCTGTATTCAAAATCACGGAGGTCATTTTGAATAAACTTTAGTGTCATAAGAATCTATGTTTTGTTAAGTTCATTTTGGTATATGAATGGTTACATAATGAATAAACTTGTTTCAATTATTTTACATTAAACATGTGACAGAATTTATGACCTGACTAGGTAGTTAATGCGAACAAATTAATTACAGTTTGATGTTTGAAAGAAGCACTACGTAATGAAAGGATCCAATGAAAAATTAAAGGAATCAAATTTGCGCACAGATCATGTAAAAACGTATTCTTAAGACGATGGAGTTGTTTTTTTAAATATGCAGTCGTGGTAAATTCGACGGCAAGCTAGAATATTTTTATCTGCTACGGGAACCGGAAAGACCCACGTGTCTTATGTCTCATGTAGACACTTATTTTTAACCCTAAAGATCATTATCACCTTGGCTAGATGATCTGTGTCTAATATAACCAATACACTACAGTGCAATACAATGTGTTTGCCCACTGAGTTTCTCGCAGGATCTTGTCGATTCCGATCCGGTAGTAGATTCTGCGAAGCACTGCTCTTGCTAGGGCTAGTGTTAGCAAATTCTCTCAGGTTGAGCCCGCGAGCTCACCTACCCGTCTGAGCTTAGTTGGAATTACCTCTTAGGCTACCAGCGAAGAGGTAGGTTAGTAAAAAAAAGAATGAGTTTTGGAGCTTTTTTTTTGTATTGCTTTGATGGGTGGACGAGCTCACAGCCCCCCATGTGTAAAGCGATACTGGAGTCGATAGATATCTACAACGTAAACGCGCCACCCACCTTGAGATATAAGTTCTAAAGTCTCACTATAGTTACAATGGCTGCCCCGCCCTTCAAACCGAAACGCATTACTGCTTCACGGCAGAAATAGGCAGGGCGGTGGTACCTACCCGCGCGGACTCACAAGATATGCAGATCGTGACGTGTAATGTCATCAACATCACCATCATCTCGGTTGGTGGACAAGAGGAATAATGTTAATGTTACATAAGTTCATACCAGCATAACGAATAATCTCTGACGAGCCTCTCGCCGTCGGCCATAGTCTGCGGCATGGATCTGCCCATGGTCTCCGGCAGCACGACGCCGACACCGCTGCCGGCCAGAGCTATCACGCTCAGGATAACTAGCGGCAGCAGGGTCCAGACACGTTCCTATCACAAGCACAAATACTATTGATGGCTTGTGAGATCCACTCCGTGCTGTTTTTTTTTTTCTTTTTTATTGCTTAGATTGGCGGACGAGCTCACAGTCCACCTGGTGTTAAGTGGTTACTGAAGCCCATAGACATCTACAACGTAAATGCGCCACCCACCTTGAGATATAAGTTCTAAGATCTCAGTATAGTTACAACGGCTGTCCCGCCCTTCAAACCGAAACGCATTACTGCTTCACGGCAGAGGCGATGGTAGCTACCCGTGCGGACTCACAAGAGGTCCTACCATCAGTACGATAAATTTTCGTAATCAATAATAAATTAAATGTTTCTGCAGCAAAGCCGGAGCGGGTCGTTAGTATGTATATATGTGCAGAGTCAAACTCACCGAATAGACAATAAAAGGTGAGAGCACTATAGCGACGTAGCCGCTCATGTGCAGGACTGAGGATCCCGACGCCCTGACGCCCGTGGGCAGCAGCTCCGTGACCCACTGGACCGCAGCGTTGTACGACATGTTGATGAAGAACCGCGCCATTACGGCCAGTGCAGCTTGGGCGATGCCTAAAAGAAAATAGAAAAAAAAACACTAACTATCACACATTAATTACAGGATTTTTTTCTGGGGAGGTAGACGAGCAGATGGTTCGATACTGTTCGGGCAAGACCGCGCCACGGATCTCTTTTTTTAGCTAGGCTGGTGGCCTTGAGAGGCCATTTCAGCGTAACCCTAACAAGTAGGTGAGCTCACGGGGCTCAAACCTGACGATGTTGCTAAGACTAACCCTTTTTTAAGGGATTTTATGACCTGGTAACTAAGACCTTTAGGTCAGGTCTTATTTTAATTTATATTCTTATTTTTATGAAAAATGGTAATATGAAGTGAAATGAAATGAAGTTGATCAATATGAAACATGGCATGGCACGAAATGAAATGAGATGAGATGATATGAGATGAAATATAATCTCAGTAAAATGGTGGTCATTTACTGGACTTGGTGACTTTTTCAGTGGACTTTTTGGAAGATTCCGAGAAGCTAGCTCAGCGGTTTTGTTTCATTTTCCCACATTTGTGCACTTTCACAGATTTCACATATATTAAACAGTTAATAAGCCACCGTTATTACACATTTAAACCTGAAGAAACACTAATTAGACAAAATAAAACAAATCACACAACTTCACTCCTCGCGTTCCCGCCAAAAAATCCCACTAACCCTAACAAGAGCCGTGCTTCGCAAAATCTACCACCGGATCGGAAACGCGACCCACTGAGAAGATTCGGCGAGAAACTCAGTGGGCTGTGTCTGAGGGTTAAATTACGAGTCACCTCTAGTATTAATTGCAAAGAAAAGAAAACAAGATGAAAATGTAAAACTAGCTATAAATATCTCTAGCGAAACCCACACCGATCCAAATCCTTTTTCATCTATTTGTCATGTAGCATCGTACCTTTGGGAACAAAAATCGCGATCAGTATCAAGAGCCCGGATATTCCCATAGGACCGCACGTCAGAACTCTACGACCCCATCTGAAAATTTAAAACAAACTCTATTTATCTTGTTGTCAAACAAAAACAAGTCATGCTTCAATGGCTAATTATGTCTTGATACATTATGGATAATGAGACGAACACAAATGATTTCCCTCATCGTAAGTAAATCAGTACAATAAAGGCAAAATGGACATTAGACAGAACTGGCAATAATTTTTTTATTTTATGTTATTGCCCTTGTAGGCAGACGGGCATACGGCCCAGCTGATGCTGAGTGGTGAGGGGCAGAACCCAGACGCTGCTTACCAACTACCAAAATTTTGGCGTTTCTGATGTGGACAATTTAATAAGACGTGATTGGAAATAAAATATTTACGACTATAGTTAATTGACGATGAACTTATAGCTCACAAAAATAGAAGAATAGGTAACCACTCTCTACAACCAAAACCATAGATCCGAAGGTAACTTTGCGTATCTCGCGGATGGCTGGTGATTAACAATGAGACAGCGTGTTAACAGCGCACAAACAGTAATGTATGGGTCTAGAATGGCACCATCATACGTCGTGGAGTTGTACGAGGTGGCGAAGGGAATCACACCAACATTACCTGACTATTATATACACACTGCAATGAAACTAGTAGTAGGCTTATCGTAGGTCCGCGTGGCTGCCTATTTACTACCTAGGTCTACCTATTTATTTATCTTTTTTTTTTATTGCCCTTGTAGGCAGAAGAGCACACGGCCCACCTGATGGTGAGTGGTTACCGTCGCCCATGGACTTCAGCAATGCCAGGGGAAGAGCCTTGGCTCTGCCTCGGCTTGCCGCTGCCGCTGTCTTCTTTTAAATCGAGCTCACGGCTCACACGGTGTTGTGTGGTAAACTGTAGACATCTTAAAATGTCGTCACCCAGCTTGAGACATGTCTCACGTGTTTAACTACTTAACACTTGACACCTGCTCAGAGAAACAGCTCACCTGTCAAGTAGAAGTGCTACAAACGTAACTGAAGGGATCTCCGTAGCCGACGTAAACGTGAACGTTATGAAGAAGTCCAGGCCGAATGCGTCTGACAGCCGCACCAGACCATCGAATATCACCGCACACACCATGTAGACGACCACCATCAGAATCATGGTGATGCGGAGCGGGCCGTTCTTGAATAATATTATCAGGGACTCTCTCTCTTGCTTAGTTTGACGCGCCGATACCTAAGAAAAAGGTCGCTTCGTCAATACTTTCTGTTTTGATGTTGAGGGCATAAAAAGGTGCACAGCTTTTAAGAGTAAAATAAAATAATAATATTTATTTAGAGTAGGGTCAGTTCTTCAACCTCCCCTCCCACCACTTAGTTAATTCTAAACACCAGTGTAGATATAGTAGAATGTACCCCAATAGTGTTGCTGTGAAATATCACCAGACAAGCAAACAAACAAGACTAAACTGCACATTTCTTTGACTCTGGAGTAAATTTTTTTTTGACCCTTCAAATTGGAACGCATTATTGCTTTACAGGGAAAATAAACAGGATTGTGATACCCGTGTTGTATTCACAACCCATTGTTAATATCGAGGGTTTTCTTGTAAGTCGTAAGGTTTTGTTTTTTAACCGTTAAAGTCATGATCACGGGCAAGTACGTATTTCCTTAGAAAAGTTATGACGTGATGTCTGTGCACTCCACTACGTAGCTCCCGGGAGCTCGTTGACCCATCAGAACAATAACCAACCACTGTGTGTATGTACAAAATTCATAACAGAACTCACAACAAAATCGTCCATGACATCGTCAGGTATCTTAGTGCCGTTGACACGTTCGAACGTCTTTAGTATCTCAACAGCTTTGTTAACTCGGCCCCTTGTTAGTAACCATCTGAAAAATAAGATTGTTGCCTAACTTTGATTTCTAATTAAAGCTTAGTATCGTCCGGATCATTTCTGCTATGATCCAGTCGTTGAAGATTGGCGGTTGTGACTTCAATCATACGTCTCAATTTCGGCTGGTGGTAAGACCTCTTGTGAGTCCGCACGGGTAGGTACCACCACCCCGCCTATTTCTGCCGTGAAGCAAAAAATGCGTTTTTCGGTTTGAAGGGTGGGGCAGCTGTTGTAACTATACTGAAATCTTTTTTTTTTTTTATTGCCTTTGTAGGCAAACGAGCATACGGCCCACCTGATGGTGAGTGGTTACCGTCGCCCATGGACTTCAGCAATGCCAAGGGCAGAGCCAAACCGCTGCCTACCGCTAGAACTTATGTCTCAAGTTTGGTGGCGCATTTACAGTGTAGATGTCTAAGGGCTCCAGTAACCACTTAACACTAGGTGGGCTGTAAGCTCGTCCACCCATCTAAGCAATAAAAAAGGCTGCGTAATTCACATTAAAACTATTTCAAAGTATTCACCTCGCACTCTCGGGGACGACGAAAGGCACGAAGAGGACTATCAGCATTGGCAGCGACGTCAGCCAGAGCAGCTTCCTCCAGTCACCCATCCATAGAGCCAGCCAGGGTAACGTCAGGCAACCAGTTCCGAAGTACAAGGCTATCGACATATTCGCCACCCAGGTACGATGCCGGGGACCGACGTATTCTAGTACTGGAGTTTGAGGTTTATGTAAAGGTGCGTCCTCCGTGAAAAGATAATTTGGGCACGAGTATATTATTATAGCTCCATAAGAAAACAAGTTGTTACATTGGCAAAATTCATTGTTTGAAAAAAAAGAATAATAGTCTTCGATCTGGAATGTTCGTTCATGAATTCTCGGAGCGAGTTTGCAGCCTAAGATAAATTTGATTATTGGGATTTTCTAAAACAAGTCTAAGAGATTGTAGAAGACATTTGTACAAAATGTACAAAATAATCAATTTTAATCAAGTTATTGAAATCAAATGATAATGAAACGTAACACGTGTGTTGATGAAAAAATGGGCTAATTAAGTTTTGAGAGGACCTTAAAATCATTAATGGTGTTGATATAAAATTATTCGTCATATACATATAGACGTTATTATTCAAATTAGTGTTTTTTCTCTTTTCACTTTGTTCACGACCGTATATCTTTTATAAAAGATAGTCAACTCGTGGGTATCTTAGAAAAAATTAAGCAATGTATTATACTCATATTGCTTATATATGACACGCCCATTTAAATTAAATAATCTAATTTCAGTAGAACAATTCCTATTTTGGTGTAACATTTTTAGTATTTGACTGAGAGTTTAAAACACAAATTACACTTCGCACAATATGTACCCTTGACATATTACGTAAAGTTTTAGACTGTTGTAGTTTTTTTGTTTATTTACCTAAAATATATATCATCATGAATGCGTTGTCGAAGGACATTCCGACTAAAAATCTGCACGCTATGAAGTCCCACAATCCACTTGTGAATATCGTTGCTATACCTCCAATGCTGCCGACTAGATTCGAACCTAAAATATAAAAGTAAAATATTTTCAATATATCAACACCCACTTAAATCTGGCGACTGATTTTTTTTAGTATCTCGACTGATAATTACAAAAACGATTACAAATTACAAAATTACAATTACAAAACGAACGCTACACGAACGATATCCGAATTACAAAAACTATTAATTATGAATGACAAAGAGCATCAGCCCAGATTATTCTAGAATACACCGGTCATATTAATAGTTACCTATCAGTGCTGGAACTCTTCCGAAGTTGTCGGCGATCCATCCAAACAAAAGACCCCCGACAAATGAACCAGCAAAAAATATGGCTTGAGCTGTGGGTGCGTATCCGGACTTCTCACACACCCATCCTCTCTGGTGAATAAACAAGAATCAAAATATGAGGCAAAGAGAAAACCTTTTGCTCCTCCTTCGGTCAACCGATTTCCTTTTTCTGTTCAGCGTCTAGTTTATTATTACTATTAACGAGTTTTGGTGTTGTCAGCATATTATTCAATGGTCAGTTTTCTCTTTCGTTAAGTCAATGACAAAAGTTAAGAGTTTAATTAATCTAAATTTTGAGTGATTATTATCGAACTTCGATCATTATATATTTATTTTACATAATATATTTACACCGTCGAATTAGACTTTGAATTGAGGAACATTGACAATAATTTCAGTCAAATTGTGACCCGTACATAAGTTTATTAAGAGCCGATTTATGTGATGAGCTCACGGGACACCATGATGTCCAAGTCATTATGACAATGTCGTTTTATTAGCAAACAAAATCGAAATCAAATACCTACTTCGCTAACTACAGTATGATAAGGTATATCAGTCAGCTCAAAATCCCACCCGTTCTCGCAGGGCACCGTCGGTGTCCCGGGGTCAGGTGGCGTGAGGGTCTCCAGTACTCTGGTCCAATTCGTCTTGTACGTGCTGCATCGGTCCCAGTCACCGGTGACCGCGCCCGGAGCCGAGAGATTACGTCTGTAATTGGCCACTACCCTTAAAGTCGTATTGTCCAAAGTATTCCTTATTCTTTTCGAAAAAAATAAATTGAGGATTTATTGGGTGTGCATTTTTGTCATTCTGTCAGAGCAGCTACAAAATGACTAAAGTTAAATTTAGGTTAATAAGGAATAAGCTATTAGAACTTCAGGAAGGAACCTTCGTCAAAAGCATTCGAGAAATATGTGAACATGGGATTTATGTAAGTACATTTTAGATCATTCCAATTCGAAAGTGACATTTTAACGCTAAAGTGCTTCGATATTATTGATCGAAGCTAAAGTGTCACTTTGGGTGAGTACTTATTTGCGACAATTTTTTCCGATGTAAACGTTTGTTAATGGTGGATGTGATCCCGTTTAGTATTTGTGAATTTGTTCACAAAAGCGGCGATAAGGAACACGATCTCTGACCATGACCGGTTTTGTCAAAATCAGTTTTGAATGAAACTCTCAATATATATTATAAATTAAGATTATGTGATTATGCTTGAAACAAAATTATAAATTGAGATGGTTTATATTGATAAGTTGCGGTAAACTGGTTAGCAAGAAATTTGTGTGTTAATTTATGAAATTTTCACATTTATTATAATTTTTTTTTTAAATTATTTATTTATTTCGGAAACCAACAGTACAAAACAAAAAATTTTATATATTAAGAATAGGTTAACGAAACCAAGCAAGTTTTTACCATTAACATCACATAAAGTAGAAAAAAAAATCATTATTTCATTTTAGTTTACAAAAAAGGCAATACAATACATCCATATACATATCCACCTTTATATTCTGATGATAAACGAATTAACACAAGTTTAACTCAAGTCGAAGGCTGACTCAAAGGCTCATTGAGGCAAGTGATGAACAAAAGATGTCAACATTAGAGAACTTAGAGTCAAGTACCCTACACGATCTACTTATTATTTAATTGTTGATCGTAAACTGTTTTTTTAAGATACATTTAAACAATAAACGTGAAGTTTACAAGTCAAGTCTTGATCAAGCTATTAAAAGAAGAAATATTATCTTATTACTAGCGTCATTGCTTATTATTTACACATTTTTTATAAATATGTGTGTTGTGGAGAGTATTAAGCGGTAGGCAGCGGCTTGGCTCTGCCCCTGGCATTGCTAAGGTCCATGGGCGACGGTAACCACTCACCATCAGGTGGGCCGTATGCTCGTCTGCCTACAAGGGCAATAAAAAAAAATAGACTGAATATTACTTTTTTAAATCCAGCTAATTGATGATCTGTGCAGGGCGGCTGGTAGGAGCTGGATGAGAGAAGCCGAGGATCATGCTCAGTGGCAAGCAATTGGAGAAACCTATGCCCACCAGTGGACTGCTATCGGCTGATGATTATCACATCGCGGCAGAAATATACAGGGCCTAATAATACCTCTCTCACTAGTCCTTCTAGGTGAATCTACAAAAAATGGTAGCTGCCGTGTGCTTTGAACTTGGACATATTCGAATCACTGGATCACTTGGTTTGGTGGTAGGACCTCTTGTGAGTCCGCGCGGGTAGGTACCACCGCTCTGCCTATTTCTGCCGTGAAGCAGTAATGCGTTTCGGTTTGAAGGGTAGGGCAGCCGTTGTAACTATACTTGAGACCTTAGAACTTATAATATATCAAGGTGGGTGGCGCATTTACATTGTAGATGTCTATGGGCTCCAGTAACCACTTAACACCAGCTCGTCCACCCATCAATGCAATAAAAAAAAAAAAAAAACTGAACACGAATCCAGTGTCTTATCGCTTAAGGCACGAACGCACCATTGATTCGTGCGAGTTTAAAACCAAATTTCCTATCATATTGTGTAAGATTCTTGATCAGAAGTGTTTGTCGCTGGTTCTCGACTATTACTGATTAGATAGACAGATATAAAGATCGTCGGCGATTAGATTGTCTAGCCGACTATTTCGCAATAAAACCGTCACGGAAACGGCTGCGTTCTTTCCCACGTCGTGTTCCTTTAATCGTTTTTCACAGTGTTTTCACAAATAAACGAATCGGTTTTTTCCGCATTTAAATTACCACTAGTCTTCTATCTATCTTCTAGTATATGTGACCATATTCAAACTTTAAAAACGACTATGTTGGGAAAATGACTGATAGCGCAAATCCTGTCATCTTTAGACGTGGGGCTGAAATCTAAATAGCATTGTATACTGATTTGCCCTTTTTTTAAGGGCGCTATTCAGGCTTCTCCGGATGGATAGGCGAGCGTGGAGAAGACGAACATCTGGCCTAGTAAAACCAGTGGTTCGCTGAATATACCACCAGATCGGAATCAAGACCCACTGAGTTTTTCACCGGATCTTCTCAGCGGGTTGTGTCTATGGGTTAAGTTGCTCGGGATCGATACTTGGAATGCCTAAAAGTACCGAGAGTCGATCGGGAGGATCCGAAACGCTTAGAGCAACGATGGCTATGCACATCTGTTTGGGTATGTAGTTAGAGGCGGCCATGAAAAGAGGGTTGATTTGTCGTTTATACCTAAACGTTTTATTACTTTGCGACTAAAATGGGGCTTACTTGTGCGGGTTCACTCACGAAAAGGGCTACAAAGATTCCGCCTTTTTGTATTATTGATGAGTTTAATTTCATTACAGGCATTTCATTACATGTTGTTGACTGATTTGTTAGTGCAGTAGTTATGGCCTGACTATACTGTCCGAAAATCGCGGTTTCGATACTCACATCGGGCATACATTCGTGTGTTGAACAAGTTTTCTTATGCTTTGTCTGGGTTTTAAATATCCAAATGTGTATTATATTAAGTTAAACATATATAAGTATGTAAATCAGTCTTTGATTCTCACGGTACGGGGAAACTTAGTTTGGAGATGATCGTGTTTCATTTGTCCCAAATTCCGGACAATCTACACTTATTCGTAGTAGAGCGTATTGTTAGTCGAACCTATCTATTTCTGCCACGAAGCAGTCATGCGTTTGGGATTGAAGGGTGGGACGACAGTCATTCTTCTTCTTCTTCTCGCCCTTATCCCATTATGTGGGGTTGACGTAGCATGTAGTCTTTTTCTATTCAGGCCTATCATACGTCACCTTTGCACTCACACCCTTCTCACCCATACCCTCTTCCACACAAGCCATCCAATACCGTCCAAGTCTTTTTGGACGCGCTCTCCTCAAATTAAGGACGGGGCAGCCATTGCAGAACACAATTGAATCTTCTTCGCACGTTTAAAGTTGTGTGAGGGCATACAAATTGTGATGTCTATAAGATTCTGTAATCACGCAATAGTAAGACCAAACGAGCCGTGTGCTCATTCGTCTACGAAATAAAATAAATAAAGCATTCGATTAGTGAGAGAGTTTGCTAAAAATGAGGTTTCAATTCGTTCGTCTATAACCGAAGACATACCTCAACTCCATATCCAAGTGCTGGAGCTCGGGAACGCTGCACCAGTGCCTCTGGGGGGTCGCAGCTATGAACATCTGGACGAAGTAGATATACGCGAAAAATAGTCCAAACGGCATCATCGCCAAGAACAGCAGTTTCTGGTAGCGACCCATGTCGCCGACGTGCGACAGAATGTTCTCGAGAGCGTCGGCGTCGCCATTTTGATTCTTGTTTAGCTGCTCCTTCGCGTCCTGAAAAATTATGAAGGTTAGTATTTTCTTAGGAGATCGAGACACGAAAACTGTCAAGTATTCAAATCTTCGTAATAGATCAACTGTTTATGCTAATCCAATAACATTACACATCAAAATAGAACAAAGGTAAAATCGATTAAGGAAAAATATAATTTTTCACGGCGGGAATGGAACCCTGGAGTCCCCGCTCACTAGTCTTGCTGGCGACCTAGTGACCGATTGCAAATTACTAATTGGTAATTATAATACACACGAAATATTCCTAGCTCGATTTTATCGAAAGTTTTTGACTTTGTCGAATTGATACGATCATTACAGAGTTATCGTATAATATCAAAACTGTATTTTCAAATTTTTCGCAAGTTTCATAAGATTTTAGCGTAGAAGACACAAATTACAAGACGTTTTAAACTCGCCTTTAAAATTTTTATTTTGTAAAGTTTTGCTCAGCCTTGTTGTGCTGTTAGGTATTTTCAAATATCACAACTTTCATATTTTAATCGGATTTTATTCTCAAATTTCATGTGTGTTTTTGCGCAGAACTCTAATTTAATTTGCCAAAATAAAATTACCAAGCTACTCTTTCTAATGTCGAAGTTCCGACAAAATGGGTACCTACAGTCATCACAGAGATCAGTGAGAATAGACAAACAAAAAATTGCGGTTAATACTCGTATAGATAAGCAAGAAACGTGACAAAAATAAAAAAATCAACAACTTTTTTTTATATTTTATTATTCATTATTTGCATTAATTGCTTATAGACACGGCATTAAATATTATCCGATTTAAAGAACTGTATCGATTTATTACAATATTATACAACATTTCAGACACCAAACACAACATCACAAATGTGGTGTTAACTTGAGTAACTGACCCTAACCGAGCACACCGTATTAAATTTGGCAATTATGTTGACTATTCTAATTAGTAATGATGGTTATGTAAATTGTTAAAGCAAATAAATTACTTGTTAACGACACTATTCTTATTTTGTGTAGCAGTTCTAGAGGCACAGAGGAGAGGAGGTTTTCCTTTATATATAGTTATAAATCCATACGCATATAAATAATGGAGTAAAGTAAAATATGTTATATAATTGACTGCCATGTACGTCACCGTGCCGTACGCGGCGCACCGAAGTAGAAATGTCGATTTCTCCTTACGATCTTTTTATTAAGGCGCCGAAATATCTAGTAGACTCTGGGAAAGACGAATCCGAAAGTAATGAATATGAATATTTTTCTAAGAGGCCTAAAAGATTAAAACATACATTAAGAAACAAAAGGCAAAGTTAAGCAATCCAGGCGCTTAGTAACAGAAACCGGCGACGACTTGCGGCAGTAACAGAAATCGGTATAATTACTTGAGTGCGCCGCGTAGGGCACCGGTAACCTACATGGCAGCTAAGGTGTTAATCCTACTCTCATCGAAGACCAAACTATATAATCATCACCGTCCGCCACAATGAACTATCCTCCGCCCTCCGCATCCAATCTCTCCCAGCATATCGCCGCAAGTCATCGGTCCAATGGGCAGGGGGACGTCCAACGCTGCGCTTACCGGTACGCGATCTCCAGTCCAGAACACTGGGAGCAATGGGCCGGACATACGTGTCGCAGAACCGATGGCCGATGGAGCAGACGTGTTCTGGACCGAACTATATATATAGTAATATCTATATCCTCCTCTCAATATCCTCTCATATATAGTAACCTCTATATGATTTATGACATAAATCTCAAAACAGGTTATAATATGTTATACAGGTGACATAAATAGTATTTTGAATATTGAAACATCACAAATATTAAAACATTTTTGAATACTGAAATATAAAAAAACATAAAAACTGGTGAAATAATGGCTTTAAATGTTGTTTCTCTTTATAGAGCAACTCAGTTGGTGCTATAGTCTTACTGGTCTAAACTTTATTTTAATGTGAATAAAATAATACATTAAATATATCTATGTGTATATGACGTGACAAACAGTATTTGTATATAGTCCACAACCTTACTAATTTCTACCGCAAAGCTTACTGTATGACGATACAATATTATTTAGACCTCTGCGCCCTCTGCCCTCTGTCTTAACCTCATGTGGCTGCCTCGTGCCCCCGCTAACATGAAATCCAATTTTATTTTTACTAACATTTTAGACGTTTTTACTTTTTTTACAACTTTTGTAAACATATTTTATAATAATGTATTACAAAACTGTAACCTAAAAACAGTAACGTAGGCAGCGAATTGGCTCTGACATTACTGAGGTCCATGGGCGACGATAACCACTCACCATCAGGTGGGTCAGATGTTTCGTCTGCCTACACGGGCAATGACAAAAAGAAGTGAGTTACAACGCTAAAACAAGTATTTTTATTCAGTAAATTCGTGTTTGCCCGTCAATCTAAATTCGATTTTAATTACCGGTGCCAGTACTGGTTTAGATAAAAAAATTACATTAGATTTTGTCTTTTGTTTTGTTATAAAAGGAGTGCTTACAAATTTATTACGATTAGAAATTTGATTATCTTTCGGATTTATATTACAGGTTATATAATTTATCAGTTGTATGTACTTCTAATTTCAATTTCAGGCAATTTTGCGCAATTTAGTAAAAAACATAAAAAGCTTCAGTTTTACAATATCGTCTTTAAGTACAATAGCAATTTTTTTTTCTTCGGTTTACACAGTCGGAAATCTACATTAAATAACTTACACAACAGGTTTACACAGTTGTATAGATTGACTGAGACCGAACTAAGAGATTCGGCATTTAGAGGCCTCTATGTTATTTGTTACTTTTATTTCAATGTACATAAAAAAAATTATTTTATTGACCTTGTAGGCAGCCGAGCATACGACCCACCTGATGGTGAATGGTTACCGTCGCCCATGGACTTCAGCAATGCCAGGGGCAGAGCCAAGCCGCTACCTACCGCTTAGTACTCTCCACAAGCCTTGTTTGAAGAAGGACATCTCATAGCGCTCGGGAAACACCGTGGAGGGGAAGCTCATTCCATAGCTGGATGGTACGTGGCAAAAAAGACCTCTGCAAAACGCACTGTGGATGACCGCAGTGGCTCCAGGTAGTATGGATGAACTCTACTCCGGTGGCGGGTGGTGCGATGGTAAATACGAGATGCCGGTATCATCTCGAACAATTCCTCGGAGCACTCCCCATGGAACATACGGTACAAAATACAGAGGGAACCGAAGTCCCTCCGCAGACCCAGAGGTTCCAAGCGATCCGTGAAAATGGGATTATCGACAATCCAAATATCAACAATATTTATGAAGAGATCTTGTCCTATTCAGACTTCTGCCGAGTCCTGCTTGGATTGCCGATCCAAATCCTACTCCTCTCCAATTTTTTTAATACGGCTAGAAGTCAAACAGGTCAATCGTAAAATTATAGGTTAAACATAACATGTGCCAGCCCTATTTGAATGAATAGTAAAGACCCCACGCTTACGTTCGGTATCAAATTAATTGCTTTGAAAAATAGTTTAGTTCTTTTTTACATTAATAATGTAATCACTAGTGTGATACGTCAGATCTATAGAAAATGTTTCAAGTAATATATTTTATTAAATGAACCGATATTATTAATAAAAAATATGACTTCGAAAAATGTTTTTTTTTTACGTTGATAACGTAATCAGTAGTGTGACACGTCAGGTCTATAGCAAATGTTTTAATAATATGTTTTATTCAATGAAACGAAATTATTATAAAATTATGAATAAACTGTTTTATTTTATTCTATAAATAAATCAATATTTCTATAAACGGAAGATCTTTTGTATTAATCATTGTACTTAAAATAATGTGGGTATCATTTTTTTTATAGCACAAGACGAGTTGAAGATCACAGATCCAAGACCTCATAAGATCTCAGAGACTCCAAAGCGTAAATTCCAAAGCGAGATCTCACACGAAACCCTCGTCTCAATGCTATTTATAATATTACGTCACTCACATTCTTCAAGGAAACACAGGTTCGTTAGTTACTGGACTCTGGTACCTATCCTTGCGGGCTCCAATACGCTTTATTCGTAAACTTAAATTATGCAGCTTTAAACATCAAATATTATAGTTGTTGTTAGACCGAAAAAGTCCACATCGAGGGTTGAAGATTTGAGCGACATTTTGGCAATCTTACAAAAGTCATATAAGCACAAATCATTTTCTCAGTCCACGCTCATTTACCGCAACGCAACACTATGGGATTCCGTAACCCGAGCTAAGAGCTCGTTCAAACCAAGTGAACTGTTCTCCTAAACTCTTTTATGTCAATAAAATATCAGCACTAATATATTTTATTATTACACTAGCTGACCCGGCAGACTTCGTAGTGCCTCAATCGATAAATAAAAGACCTAAACTTTTGTATAAAATAAACTTAAAAAACAAACAAACATTTTCATATTTATTTAAAACCTTCTTTAAAACCTAATATTTATTTAAAACCTTTGAAACCTTCTCTGGACGTTCACAAATCATTCAAGACTAAAATTAGCCAAATCGGTCCAGCCGTTCTCGAGTTTTAGCGAGACTAACGAACAGCAATTCATTTTTATATATATAGATTAACATTTTCAATCATAATTATTAATTTGATAAATCAGAATTTATATAAAATATTTATTGCCAGCTTCTAGTTTTATAACATTGACCGATATTTTTTAATGACCGGAATGCTATTTTATTATCATTTTGTTCATTCATTTTTAATCTTATTCTTCTTTTTAGCTTAAGTTATGTGGATCTGATATCTAGCTGTGCACAAAACTACAATTTATTTTGTCAGAGTTGGATTTAATTAAAGAGGTTTAGACGAAGAAAGTATATCATACCCTCCGTAACAAGAAAAGCTACAAAAATCGCAAGCAATAATGGCAAAAATCTTTACTTAAAGTAAAAAGTTTATTAGAAGAATTTAAATTTTGCCTACGGTCACGTCGTTCGAGTGCACAGCTAAATTTATAGTACGTCTATAGATTCTCTTCTTTCATAAAGATGACATGGAATTGTGTGACATTTTCATGTCCATTAAATTCTGTTCACACGGAAACGATAATTCTTAGTCGTGAGACGATTGTCGCCGGTCTGGAAGGACGACTATCGCGAATGCTTTCCTGATCTAGCTTTTTCTATTCTTTCACCAATCCTATTATCGAGATAGTAAATTCCTTTCACGCAGATGGTCTTTTGGCGTTTGTCTGGCGAGAACCAGAAAATTAACGGGTGCCGAAACATCATTCCTTAATTTAAAGGCGACACCGCATGCGAAATGCCTCTCTGCCCATTTATATTCTGAGGTTTATCTGTGATGACCCTAATATATACTATGTTTTATTATTATCGTTGAACCACGCCTAATTCTCAACAACCCAGATTGGCAAAGGTTAAACAAAAAAATTTTTTTTTGAGGCTTCGGATAAATACTTGGCACCTAGCTCATATAGATCATAGTTTAAATGATACTTTGGAATAACAGAAATTAAATAGTCATATTATACCTAACCTAAAAAAATTGGAACCGGATTTTCAATTAGTCTCATTCTGTTGTTATTAATCTATTGTTAGATATTTGTGAAAATGCTATTGATACCGCATTGAAAAGGATATAATATGATACCGTAAAACGGGGTGAATTGACACAATATTGAAATTGACTTCATTTTTATATATGTTTTCAATAATCAAAAGAACATTATATTGGTCTTATATCATGTCTCTTAGCTGTTTTAATAGTTTTCAGTCATCTAAATTGGCATTTATTCCTTAATTACAGCACAAAATGCAAAAATGTGTTTCGTTTCTATTGACCCGCACATGGGTTCAATAGACACGAGGTATGGGGTGAAAAGAAAAAAATGCTAGGGTTGGCAATTTCCAAAGATTAAGTAGAGATCTGCTTATGTAGCGAGGCAACGTAAGTGTGAAAAATAGGTGGGTAGTTATGTAGTAAATGTTACTTAATCGTAGAAATAAAACAATAGATGAGTAAAAATTTAAACTTTTCAATCTTTAATTCTTGTCGATGAGATCAATTATTTATTCTTATATTCGAGATCAATCAGTAGCATCGTGTATTAATTGCACAAAAAACAAGCTATAATTCTAAGAAACAGTCTCATTATTAGGTAGGTATAGTTATAGTTAACATTTTAAATAATTAACTTTTCAGTAATCAACATTTAAAACTAGGTACTAAATCAATGAGTTACACTTTTTAACAAGAGGACAGATATAGTCACTCAATCACTATCTAATACTGTCACGTATTATATATCGTCATCCATTAAATCTTTCAAAATATCATTATCGTTTTTGTAAAACGATGGTCGCTGAGTTTGGATAGTTTGTAAACTGCTTGGACCAGGACGATTAACATTATCAATTATTGTATCCTTTAAAATTTTAAGACGCGAATTGGGATATATTTTTTTGCACTTATTCAAAGTAACCTTTTTCATCGTAGTAATATCTGATATCTTTTCAGTAGATATAATTTTCAGTTTTCTTTTATTTTTTTCCGGTGAATTTTTTTGTTTATACGTCATTTCTATTCCGGTATCATTCTGCATCTCATTTATTTGTATGTCATGAAAAACAATTTCATTTTCACACAGCAACATGTCTTCCAACATAATAGGCATTGTTTCTATTGAATTGTTCGCTACAAAATCAAAGTCATTTATTGCGTCAAGTAGTATTTTTTCAGTGTCTGGTCCGTTTTCTTGTTTATTTTCTTTTTCAGCAATATTCTGATCTTGTGTTTTAGTTTTTTTCCCTACACCTTTTCCCTTATGTTTATTGTTTTCTTTGCCATCGTAAGTATTAGTTGTAGTATTTTCTTTGTTTTGTGTTATTTTGGATCTCAGATCTGCCTTTTTTGGTTTTTGTTGGCTTTCTTCTTGTTCTGTTTCTATGTAGTCTTCACTTTCAGAAGCAACGCTTCGTCCAGGTATTACTATCAACTTTTTTTTCCTTTTTGGTTCGGTTATGTTCATGGTTCCATATCTCATCTCCCTGAGCAGATCTAGAACGGATTTTTCTATTTCAGTTTTCTTTTCATTGTTTTGCACTTCAGGTAGTCTGCTTAAAACCTCTTCTTCATTAATCGGGTATATTCCTGTTTTCCGGAATCCTGCTATTATATTAGCCTTACTGTTGTTACGAAGCTCTTCCATTAATTTATTTAAAAGTCTAGGAAAACATCCCTTTGGAATCGTTGATTGGGCTTTCCCATCGGTTTTTTTCCACTTTAATACTACGTTTCGCCATGCTATCTTCATAGGCCTGAAGAATGCTACATCAAGAGGTTGTGTGAGGTGTGTACTATTTGCCGGTAAAAAAATGAACGATATATTTTGTTCGTGGCACAGTTTTATTGTCTCAATCGATAAATGCGACGAGAGATTATCGCCTATTAGGCACTTTTTCCCAACTTTATCTTTGAAGTGAGGTATAATGATGGATTTAATCCAATCTTCAAAAATGGTTGCATCAAACCAACCGGATTGCGTACGATTATACCTTGCTCCTGGTGGTCCATTTTCAGTCCATGTGTTATACAAGTTTTGAGCCTTGTATACCACATACGGCGGGAGTAAAGTGCCGTCAGCTGTAGCGGCTATCATCAATGAAACTGAAGACTTTGAACTATTCATTACCCTCTCTGGGTACTTCGTTCCTCGTTTAGTAATGATTTTTTTGCGTCCTGGGTCATCAGTCAAATTAGTTTCATCGTAATTAATTATAGAACTCGGATTAATACCTGCCAATGACACTTCTAACTCTTTGAAATATTCTTTAATCAAGTTTGGTGAAACTTCTGCCCTTTTTTTCTTAATGTTTTGGCTATATCTTTGGGAAATTTGGTTTTTGTGACGTTTTAGAAAACTCGCGACAAAGTCGGGGCCTGGTAAATTATTTTTAAATTTGAGTACTGTCCGACCCACTTGGTCAAGATAAGTCTTAACAATGTATCTCAAATCTAAAGCATCTAAAGGGCATCCCCATTCTGCACATATATTGATATACTTTATCATGCATTCTTCAGTCTCGTTAGTTAAAATAGTTTGCCCTCCTTGTTTTTTCATAGTTTTGACACTGTGTCTATAAAGTACAGATTTATCAATATCATATTTCTCTGCTATGGCCTTTAAAGAGAATTTGCCATTCGCATATGCGGCAACAGCTTCATTTATAATATTTTCATCGTACTTTCTATATCTTTTCCCTCTAGGATCAGGTTTATAAACACGCGGCATAACGATTTGTACCTATAGCAGAAGCAAATATTTATACAAGCGATGACAATATTTATCTACCTACATATTTAGTAACACTGTAAACATAAAACTACGATTTAAATCCCGATTTGGAAGTTTGTAATTTAATACTACCTAGTAGCTCCCTCGGGCTTTCTGACAAAAGAAAGTAATATTCTAATATGTAGCAGCCCTAACACATATTTTTCTAATCACCTCTTACTCGTTTCTATTGAGCCCATTCACGTGTCTATTGAACCCATAATACGTATCTATTCTCCCCATACTACGTATCTATTAGCCCCTTCCCCGTATCTATTAACCTCAATCACAAGTAAAAAATGGCTTAGTTTACAATTTTACAAATATTTCGAAATTTACAACATAAACGCACTTACCTTTGTATTAATTTGGGTGACAAGGAACCAACGAATACATTGACAAATTGTGATGGCTCAAAACAGTTCCTTTCACTATGAAAATAGTAAACTTTAAAGGACCCCGTTTAACCTGCATTCAAAGGGCTCACTGCAAGATCTTTTTTTATTAAGTTGGACAAACCGCACGTCAATCCAGTGTTGCTATTTCAAGAAAAATAATGTTGCAGTTTTAAAAAAACATACATTTCAGAACGTTTTTCTTTCAAAATATTTGGCTATAGTCTGCAGAATTTTTTTTTTAGTTTTGTATCTATTGACCCCTGCGCTTTTATTCACCCCGTTTTACGGTACTTTACTTCCTTCTCCACTCTAATATTTCGTCTAGAGCCATCTTACGCTACGCTTTGGAACTATACTAACGACATCAAGCAGGTAGGTATGTAGTAAATTTTCCCACGCGCGCTTCGCTAGCACACTGTTGATACGACATAATTATTACACGTTAAAGCCCGAAAGAACACTCAATTCCATTCCGCTTCGATCCAGCTCATTAAAATTTTTGCCAAACGGATGACATCGGTCTCTGCATACAAAGAAATATATCTTTATGTCCTTTATGTCCCTTTTGTCTGTTCAATTGAACTCTCAGCTGTCACTGGTGTAGGATATGAATGTACCTACCTACTTAATTTAATTATATTATCTTTTCCAATCAAACATAATGTATATTAAAAACGGGTTATTTTTCTGTATCTGTGTGAATCGAGTACATTAAAATCGATTTCTCGATTTATATTTGTCTCATCAAAAAATGCAGTTTACGTCGTGTAATACTATGGAGGGTAGAGGTAAGGAGAACCGTCTCTGTGTGTAAAAAGTGTCCGTTAAAATCTGCTAAGGGTGGCGCTACAGTAGCAAGCGGGTGAATTTTAAAGAAGGCGCTGAAAGTTATTAGAATATGATAGAAAAATAAAAAAGAACGAAAGAACTGTAAGCACTACAAAATCACAAAAAGTATTTTATTTAAAGCTGATAAGAAAATGCAATCGATGCTTTACGTTTTACCACAGCAATAATTTTAGGTTAAATTGACGAAATTAGTTTGGACTACGTAAACATGTGAGGTCTTGTATATTATGCTGTCACTAACTACTCTAGTCATTAAATATATTAAATTTCCTAACTCAGTATACTTCAATCAGTTAACACCTGCTCAATTCATATTATCAGTCCCTGTGCCTACGCTAGCGCCATTCTGGAGGATTTTTGAATGAGTGCTGAAAGTGGGACACTTTTTCAAGCTTCTCCCATATGAGACGATTCTCCTTACCTCTACCCTCCTTAAACAAAAGTCAATTAATAAATAAATACTTATTTATTACAACCTAACATCAATCACTGATGATTTTCATTCTCACTCAAAATCGATAATCGAGATTTTTTACAATAAAATGTTAAGAACTAAGATCCTGTAGCCATCAATAGCATTGTTTTATGTTTATTACAAAGCTAATTGTAAATTACTCATAAAGATAGAGGATTATTTTTAAACAGATAAAAAAAACTCGAAACTCTTGACTGAGATTGATTCATTAGTTCTTAACGATAAAAATCGATTTCATAATAAATCGATCTCATATCGCAATCCTAATATCAAATCATTCAATTTGGCGGCATTTAACCAAGCGCTTGCGTTCAACGTGGTTTCGTGACAAAATAAATAAGGCATTGAATACATTCCGAAAATGAAGGGAGACAAAAATGTTGACTTTGAACAACTAAAAGATATTGCCAACAAACTGAGAATCGACAGTATTGTTGCTACAAACGCCTCAAAGTCTGGGTGAGTGACCTAACCTATAAAAACTCGGCTTTCTGATTCATGAAGGTCTCGTGAAGGTTAAAATAAATCATATTGATATAAAAAAAAAATTAAATTATACGAAACACATTCTCTTCTAGTATTAATACATAAAAATCAGTTTCCTGGTAAGTTATCAAGCTGCGATGGATCGTATAAAATATGGTTGGCAATAATGCCACAATATGGTGTACCATTTATAGATATTAGTTGGTCATGGATAAAATGATTTGCCAGGTTATGACACGGCCACCATGTGGTTTTGATATGTCGGCAATAAGTACTAGACAGTAGAATAAAAAATGAATCCATCTTAAAATATGCCGGCCGGCGTTGTAGTCTGATCGTGGTAGTAGAATATGCATTCAAATTAGTTGTCAGCATATTAAATTACATGCATGCATTGCATGAAACAATAGTCAAAGCTAACTTCATATCAAAGGTATCTTTTTATACCTAAGTACTCAATAATTATACTTAATGAACAAAAAACTTGTTTAAATAGGAAGCTAATGAAATACCAAACAATCTTCATTGTTAATTCCATAAAACGAAGTAAAATTAATCAACAGTGCTTGTTGATTTATTTTATTTTGTCTACTTAATTCATTGTGTAAAACACCATAATAAAATAACAAACTGTTCTTTAAAACAGCATCAAAATTTGTAATAAAATTTCATATATTGTCTAAAAGAAAAGGTATGGCCATCTTTCGCTATATACTGTTCTGCACCATTATATGGTGTACCTATTACTTCTCCACGTACATTCATGTCTGTATTCAGCCTGCCCATAGAAAATTTTTATTCATTCAATGATCCCTGCTACTGAATTTAAAAGGTTAAGTAAACAACTGAATTTATTTAAACTTTGCACTTCTCAAATTTATTTAGTTTATATAAATAAATGTTTTTAACAAACGATATTTAGTTTTTATCAATAAGTGTTTTAACAATCGAGTGTTAGTATATCCATTGACTCTTTGTCCTCCTGCTACATATTGTTTACTATTCATGACATTTGTTTTTAGATATTTCATAATCAGTTTTTATCAACTCTCAAACAAATCTTAAGTTTGAAACACACAAAAAGTTGAAATATTTTTAGTCTAAATGACCTCAAAATGTCATTCACATATCCTTGATGTGTAGTGAGCATTGATTACATAATCTTTATCATCTCAATACAAAGGCCATTTTGTAATTGTTAAATTTTTAAGATATTATTATCACTTGCATTAAAACTCAAAAGATGATATAATATCTCCTCATTTACATGCATAAGTTTTTAATTAAAATAAGATGGAGTTGGGATGTGCATATTGTTGATGATAAATAATAGAGGTAAACTAAATAAATAACTAAAGTTAAATATGTATTTGCTATGCTATTTTTGTTTGTTAAGGAGAGATGAGAATTCGTTTTTACAGCCAGTAGGTAAAAAATACTGAAATTTATAATTAAAGCAGGACTAAAAAAGTCCTTATCCATTTTTTTAAACATAAGCCTTTTAGTGGACAAAAAGGCTTATGTTTAAAAAAATATATATATATTGTAATATTGTTTATTAAAATTCATTCAGTAAGAATGTTTCCAAATCATGTGTCCCTTTTATGCATTATTGATGATCAAATCTGTAAAATATGGGAATTAATTAATAAGTCATAATTAAAAAGTATATTTTTTGTCTATCAATTACATTATAATAATTAAGTTAACTTGTTACAATATTGTTATTTGATTTTTCTCTTCTATCAGTCCACAGACATCCACTGCTGGACATAGGCCTCCCCCAAGCCTCGCCACAAAGATCGGTATTAAAATAACAGCTTTGTAAAGTCCACATGTGTCGACAAGACAATTTATCATGCCTTGTATATCATATGTATAATATTGCACAAAGATTTTTAAAACTCAGTGTATAACATAAAATATCTGAGTTAATTCAGAGTGCATACAGTAATATGTGTTTGTCGTACTCACATCGATGTATGTTGTCGACTGTGGGCAGTAGCATTCACACAGTAAAAATTAAAATAATGATTGACACAATAAACATCCAAAGTAAAACTAAATTATCTGAAATCATTAGTACATTTTTTAATCTAGGTGCTCACGAAAGAGCTCACGGCCACACGCGGTCGAGCCATAGACATTACAAGGCGATTGTTGTTACCCAAGTGTGAAAACCCGAGGGCGACTTCTTAACTGTTCCGTATAATGGCTGTCCATTACCTCTGTTACACTAGATCATGGGTAGCAACAATCTTGAACAAGACTCAATTATTGATAATTATGCATAAATAGTATACAATTTATTGAATAATTCAATTTTCAATTCAATTCTATTGTTATCAGATAACAATAACCCATCAATACACACACGCACAAATAAATCAAAATTAAATTACAATAGGTACACATAGAAAACAAAATAATAAACAAATAATCATAATAAACTAGTAGGTCTTCACAAATAAGATTATATTATATTTAAAATGTTAATAAAATATCAAAATCATTAATGTAGTCAAAAATATGATGAAAATAAGTTAGGTTTGAAAATAAAAAGTTTGACATGTGGAAGTGGGAAATAAATTAAAGAGGATGCCATTATTTTCACACAAGTAAGGCAAATGTAGCATCATTTTGGTAAATGTGAGATGAGATCATTGTAGGTATAGTCTGCTACTCCATTTCGTTAAGTAGGTACACACTCGTATAGTGTGTAGTGAGTGATTACGGTCGCCCATGGACTTCAGCAATACCAAAATGTTTTTCAGATGTTTAGCGACAGTAAAAACCCGCAGTTATTCGTAAGGCCCTGGCATGACTGGTTTCGTTAATTGTAAATAAAATGTTTGTCAACAGTCATCCGACATCATGCGCGTCAATGGCGGAGATAATGTCTGTTCTCTTCTTCCACACAATGCGGTACAAGATCTCCGCGCCACGAGACGCTTCCGCCGACAGATTTATTCTTTCCAAGGTAAACGGTGGTAAATTACTTCTATTCTCAAGCAAAAACAGAAATTAAACAATTCGAATAAACCGCTATCTGGCCCGAAAGAAGGGGCTGAAGTCTTGACTGCGATTCTGTTAACCACTTATTTGACTGAATCTGATATCCGTGGCTCATGCAGGGTCACGCAGCGCCGATCCTGTACGCGGCGTGGGCGGAGGCCGGGCTGTTCCCGCTGGACGAGCTGAAGAACTTGCGCAAGCTGGACTCGGACCTGGAGGGCCACCCCACCCCGCGACTCAATTTCGTGGACGTCGGCACCGGCTCCCTGGGCCAGGGGCTCGCCGTGGCGGCCGGCATGGCCTACGTCGGGAAGTACTTCGACCAGGCGCCCTACAGGTACTCATCGACCACATATAAATGCACATATGCAACTATTACTGGTGGTAGGACCTCTTGTGAGTCCGCACGGGTAGGTACCACCACCCTGCCTATTTCTGCCGCGAAGCAGTAATGCGTTTCGGTTTGTAGGGTGGGGCAGTCATTGTAAATATACTTGAGACTTTAGAACTTATATCTCAAGGTGGGTGGCGCATTTGTGTTGTAGATGTCTATGGGCTCCGGTAACCATTTAACACCAGGTGGGCTGTGAGCTTGTCCAAGCATCTAAGCAATACATAAATAAAAATTAAAATTTTGCGGGTCTGAATTTTATTACACAATTTTATTCCTTCACCGTGGAAGTCAAAAATGAACTTTTGTTAAGTACATATGTACTTATTGGAAATGAAATCTTTATATGCAATGTTGAGAAATTTTGGTCGCTCGGCACAAAGTTAAACAGCTGCCTGTTCCCCAGGGTGTATTGCCTGGTGGGCGACGGAGAGGCGGCCGAGGGCAGCATCTGGGAGTCGCTGCACTTCGCCAGCCACTACAAGCTGGACAACCTCGTCGTCATCTTCGATGTTAACCGTCTGGGGCAGTCCGAGCCAACCTCTCTGCAACATCAGGCATGTTGTCTCAAATAACTATCTGACCATTAAACTAAATTTGGCATCTATAATTGTTGTTGAATATATAATAGACAAATGGAGTCAATCAACATATACTTTATAACTACTATACTATGACGATGCTTGTAGCTGAAAGTAAGTATTGTACTTTTTGACGAAGCATGTTGCGGATAATAATATGTACTTTTAGGTTAGGAATATTGTTCTTTTTTTTTTATAATAAATAAACATTTCGTTATACTTTATAACACTGAAAGCATATAATACTTTTTCCATGTTTGATGTTTATATGTTATTTTGACTAAAGGTTTGTTAAAGTTTAATAATTATTCGGAAGCGCTCTCAATTGGCAACCAGTCAGCAGCATAGCTTGTTGTCAGTACTGTGAGCTGAAGTATATTTCTAATATTAACATTAACCTAACCTGTAACTGTTGACGGTGTGAGTGTTTTATCAGAGCTAGATTGATGAGAATTATACATTTTGCTAGAACCCTGACTGAGCCCACAGCCAAACTAAATTAAAGCGAAAGACATTGTCATCTTCCTCGAGACACGAGCTCGAATACAAAGTAGCATTGTAATCGAGTTACTAATTGCTTTGAAACCAAAACATGATCGTTCGGTTGAAATGGCAGAGCGGTCGCAACATATAAAATAATTAGCTCCAATTGGAACAGTTGGAAGTGTACGACGCGCGCCTGAAGGCGTTCGGTCTCAACTCGCTGGTGGTGGACGGACATGACGTCACGGAGCTGGTCAAAGCGTTCGACGAGGCCGCTTCAGTGACCGGGAAGCCAACAGCGCTGGTGGCTAAGACTTACAAGGGAAGGGGCTTCCCGGGGATCGAGGACCTGGACAACTGGCACGGAAAGGCTCTGGGAGCTGAGGGAGAGAAGATCATCAAGGTACTATACTACGTTTTAATTTCATGCTTATAGTAACTAATCTCTAATACTCATTGAACCAGGCACTACTCACTATTGAAACAGGCATGCACAAGTGTGTCTGCAGCCATAGTTCACATATTCTCTCAAAAGGGACATGACCCAATAAGTTGCTAATTTAAACATAATAGATAGTCTAATCATTATATCCAAATCAAATTCAATTAATTTATCATATTAATTCATCATTAATGTATCAAAAGCCTGTTGTGTGTTTGTAAAAACTAATTTGTGTTCGAGCAGCTATGAAAAATAAAAAAGTTGTATACAAAGAAATTTAAAACACAAAGATTTAGTATGTTATTCTTGTAAAATATTTTTAATAACTCAAATCATTTAATTTCTCAGCATCTTCAGTCTCAGATCAAGACTACAAAGATTACACTAAAACCGAAAGCTCCACTAGCAGAAGCTCCCAAAGTTCACATCGATGACATCACACTCTCGTCCCCGCCAGCTTACAAGCAAGGAGAGCTGGTAGCTACGAGACTGGCATATGGAACCGCACTCAAGAAGATTGCTGATACTAATCTGCGGTTAGTTTTTGCATTGTTCATATTTAAACTGAAGTATTTATTTTTATCTTTGTTTGAACATAATATAAGAGCAACTCAGTTCATTTAAATGTGATTTGTGCCTAATAGCCATTTAAATAAGAAATAACAACTGTTGTATAATGATAGGAGACATAGATATAAGTGGATTATACCCAAAACTGCGGGTATACAACTGAAGATAAGAGCACAATTTGCAAAGCTGCATTTTACATATTTTTAACAGATTAAGAAGTAATACTTGAATTAACTGATAGGTAAACCTTTTATTTATCAATAAACTCGCAAAAAAATGCACTGGGCATATTAACATTGTAATAAACTATATTAGTATATTACAATCTACAAGGTGCAAGAGCAAACAGTGTTTGTCGTACTCACATGACCGCTGTCGGACAATGTGGGCAGTAGCATTCATACAAGCTAATTTAACTAATCTATACACCACATTTTTTTTAAGAGATTTTATGACCTGGTAACTGAGACATTTAAGTCATGTCTTATTTTAATTTATATTCATATTTTTATGAAGAATTATATTATGGAATGAAATGAAATGAAGATGATTTCAATTTGAAACATTAATCAACTGGATGAAATTAAATTAAATGAAATGGGATGAAATATAATCTCAGTAAAATGGTGGTCATTTACTAAGATTTTTTCAGTGGACTTTTTGGAGGATCCCGAGAAGTTACATCCAGCGGCTTTGTTTCATTTTCACACATTTGTGCACTTTCACAAATATTAAACAGTTAATAAACCACCATTATTACACATTTAAACCTGAAGAAACACTAAATAGAAAAAATAAAACAAATCACACAACTTCACTCCTCGCGTTCCCGCCAAAAAGTCCTCTATACACCAAATAAACAAATTATCTACAGATGAAATGTACCTGCTTAACAAGATGCACACTACTAGTTATTTTGGAAATTAAATTACCGATATTTAGAGTATGCACGTTATATTTTATTACAGTGTGATAGCTTTGGATGGTGACACCAAGAACTCTACATTTAGTGACAAGCTTCGGAATGCGTACCCTGAAAGGTTAGCGTTTAATTTGATTTTTTTCAATTCATGGTTCAGTATAATATGCACTTTAAAAAATTTCCTGATAATTAGTAAATTTTTTGTGCTTATTTTATTAATATTAACTATCTGGTTCATCTTTCTTTAAGGATTCTAAATTTCACATATATATATTGCCATAAAAAGTATCAAGCCTATAAAGTGCTAAATTATTATCTTGTAACTGATGCAATCAATAGCAGTAATTATTTTTACAATCAAATCATGGTTTGAATGTTCGGAGTAAATGTTCCATTTGCAATTTAGATATGTGGAGTGTTTCATCGCCGAACAGAATCTAGTGGGAGTGGCTACGGGAGCAGCCTGCAGGGACCGGGCCGTGGTGTTTGTCTCCACATTTGCTGCTTTCTTCACAAGAACTTTTGACCAGGTTTGTAGATACATGATCATCCTATTACTTAACCTTGTCAATGGGCCCTGCATGTTTAATTTGATAAATATTGATTTTTTTACAACCACATTTTCAGTGATGAGTTAATGGCTCATCTGGTATTAAGTTATAGGATCTGTTAGACATCAAAATGTAAATTGAAGGTTTCAAATGTATTGTATCGTAGTCCTTCCATTCTCCAAGCCGCATTTGGCTTAATAATATTATAACATTGCACGGGAAGTTTTGTACTCATATAACAAATTAATATCTGAGTTAATTCAGAGTGCATACAGTAATATGTGTTTGTCGTACTCACATCGATGTATGTTGTCGACTGTGGGCAGTAGCATTCACACATCTTAATATCTAATTATTTCCATTGTCAAATATTAATTTGACAATTATATGACAATAATATTAATTACCTAACAAAATGTAAAATTAATAGTTAGTAGTTACAGGAAATTAAATAATAATTAAAAAAAAATATGCAAACTAAGTGTAAACTTTGAGGTATTTATTTGTGTTTGAATTTTTATATTTTAGTAGAATACTTGTGATTGTTTGACTTCAAATTGATTTTTTTATTGCTTAGGCGGGTGGACGAGCTCACGGCCCACCTGGTGTTAAGTGGTTACCGGAGCCCATAGACATCTACAATGTAAATGTCGCTACCTACCTTGAGATAAGTTCTAAGGTCAACGGCTGCCCCATCCTTCAAACTGAAATGCATAGCTTCACGGTAGAAAAATTGGCAGGGTGGGGGTACCTACCCGTGTGGACTCACAAGAGGTCACCAGTAATTATGCACATTATAATTTTGCCAGTTTTTTTTTATTACACAATGTTATTCCTTCACCATGGAAGTCAATCATGAATATTTGCTGAATATGTATTTCATTAGAAAAATTCTATTCTTCTTCATTTGTTTCAGTTTTTTATAAAGTTAAATTATGTTTTATCAGATTCGTATGGGTGCTATTAGTCAGTCCAACATAAACCTTGCCGGTTCACACTGCGGAGTCAGCATCGGAGAGGATGGTCCGAGTCAGATGGGACTGGAGGACCTTGCCATGTTCCGTACAGTGCCTACTGCTACTGTCTTCTACCCGTCGTTAGTACCTTGCAACATACTACCTTTGTTAATGGATTTGATATGTATTCAAGCTGTGATTACCTTATAACAGAGTGTACAAACTCTACTGGGTTACACAATGGCGTGTACACCACCTACATTGATACTCGAGGTGGAATACATAATTACATCATTTAGTTTATTTCACATAAATCGAAAGAAATCAATTTAATTATCACGAAATTCCATTTTGCTTTCAGTGATGCAGTCTCTACAGAGCGTGCAGTAGAATTGGCAGCCAACACTCGAGGCATCTGTTACATCAGAACTTCTAGACCCAACACGGCTATCTTGTACCCCAATGATGAAGTATTCAAGGTATATTTCGAATTTACATTTTTATTTAATAGCAAAGATGTCCATGTGTTGACCTCACGAACGGTTGTTGATAATAGCTTTTGTAATAAGAGTATATCCTGCACGACACATTCTACTAAATTTCATAATTTGTTATGCAGGTCGGACAGGCCAAAGTACTCCGTCAGTCCGCAAAGGACCGAGTGTTGTTGATCGGAGCCGGAATCACGCTGCACGAAGCACTTGCTGCTGCTGAAGAATTGAAAAAAGAAGGTTTGTACATATATGGTTATGCGCTGGGGTTCGGGATAAATAAAATTTCACCAAAGTACAACTAAAAACTGTATTCAACATTTATAACACTTAAAAGACTCAACAAACACTTAAAAACTCAATTCGCTTGTTCCGCTTCGCTTCAGGTGATCCGTTCGCTGTTTCGCTTCGAGTAGTTCCGATTACTGACTGACTGCGTGCCATCTTTACAACGCTTTTATACCCGATACCACATCCCTAGAATTATCGAGAATATTTCATACATTTCGAGTATTGTGTTTCCGCTATCTAACAATAGATGGCGTTGTACTTCTGGAGCGTTCTAGGTGCTACTAGATCCTTCGATGTTCGTTCGACTATTTGGCGATAGATGGCGTTACACTTACCAGCGTAACAATATTATTTGCTCTAAATTTATTGTACATCACTGATAGATGAGAAACTTGTTTTGATCTTTATTTCGAATGAAGTCCTAATTTAAGACAAAATACAAATAAACTTGGAATAAAATAGTGAGAAACTGGTTTCAGATACTATTTTATAATAATTAACAATTACGTAAATGAATAGGTGTGGAGGCTCGTGTGTTGGACCCGTTCACCATCAAGCCATTGGACGAGGCTGCAGTTCTGGAGAATGCTCGGGCTGCTGAGGGAAGAATACTTGTTGTTGAAGATCATTATCAAGCGGGTCAGTATTTAATAAGAAAATATTTATTAGGGATCTTAATAATAAAATTCAATCTTTATCATCTAATATTGACATAACAAATATAAATCATAGTACATACCTAAAAAATACTTTTTGTTTTTTAGTTGAGTTTGAAATTTTTAAATATTATAGAAGCTTTGACTCGAAATATTATGAAAACTACATTAATTCTTCTATAATTTGAAATGTGTCCAAAAAACATTTTTTATTTATTTGGAATGTTCTATAATTGATATGGAAGTTTACTGCTGGTAGGACCTCTTGTGAGTCCGCGCGGGTAGGTACCACCACCATGCCTAATTCTGCCGTGAAGCAGTAATGCGTATCGGTTTGAAGGGTGGGCCAGCTGTTGTAACTATACTTGAGACCTTAGAACTTATATCTCAAGGTGGGTGGTGCATTTACGTTGTGGATGTCTATGGGCTCCAGTAATCACTTAACATCAGGTGGGCTGTGAGCTCGTCCACCCATCTAAACAATAAAATAAAAAAATATATAAATGAAACTGGCCCGTGGTAATTTTGAATTCTTGCAGTTTGAGTCGCCACTGAAAGACGTGATTGTGTGTTGCAGGAGGTATCGGCGAGGCGGTGCTGTCTGCCGTGTCGCTGCAGCGTGACGTCATCGTGCGGCACCTGTACGTGCGCGAGGTGCCCCGCAGCGGCCCGCCCGCCGCGCTGCTCGACCACTACGGCATCTCCCAACAACACATCGTGGCCGCCGCCAAGCAACTCATTAAAGCCTAATCGCTGTCTTACTCTACTTTCCGAGATTTTCATGACTTAAGACAAAAAGGATTGTGTGATTTTATGAAACCACGGTAATAGTGAAACTTTTTTTCACATTATAGACATTTAACTCTGACAAACAACATTTACATTAAACACTGACAAATTCAAACAAAATAGCGTGGAGCCCTGGCACAAATGAGCAGTAGTCTATACACTACACGGTCAGGTGCTGCGAACTATAAGCGCCGCCATATTGGCCTCCTCTGACGAGCGCCTTTCACTTTATCACCAGTCCGCGGTCGACCGTCACGCGACATGCAACACACAAACGAAAAAGTTTGAGACGATGTAACAAAAGTTACACTTTATAAAATTCATTCTTTTCGTATGTGACTGCGAGCGCGAAGTTAGAGCTTTATCAATATAAGACAAAAAATGCAAAAAATAAACATATCAAATGGGCAATTCAATTTGTAATGTGTAAATGTAATTCACGCTTGAACTAGCCGCATTAATAGTCAATGAAAATCTCTAGAAACATAATTAATAATCTGATTCAGTTGGTGTTTTATATTTCCATGCATTTAGTGTCATCTCTAAACGAAAACAAAATTGAAATAATTTTATTCCATGAAATTATAATTAGATTGTTGTAGACATTCCAAAATTAAAATAAAATCGTGCACAAATTTAATGGCACACTAGTTCCTATGCTAACAAAATATACTGAATAAAAAATATGATTGTTATACATTATATAAATTATAGTTCTATTACTTCATTGTTGTTATAATATTTAATGTGAGGGTAATTCTCATGCGTTTTATTGTTGATTTGTACAAAAAAGGATCACTGGCGATTTTTGTGATCTCTCACCACGCAACACCACATGTAATGTCTGAAATTTTGGATACCACTTAACATCAGACAGGCTGGGAACTCGCCCACTCAACCATGTCAATGAAACGTATTTTTATTATGACATAAATTTTGATAAACTATATGTAATAAAGGGTTTTGGATGTATTTCTAGTAACGTAAGTGCAAATCAAGAGTAAAACCTGCTACATACTTTCATAGACTAGTGCCTTCATGTGGAACTGACAAGGTAAAGGCTGATGGGTTTTTTTGATTGGATTTTGACGGTTAGCGTGTAAGGATTATATATATATTGTAAGTAGGTGTAGTGCAGTATCTATTCACAGGAATAGAGATCAAGGGCTATTTTCATTATTTTTTGTAAACATTGTTAAGAATTAGGGCTTCCATTTTATATGAAAATACATAGATTTTTCGTTAAATCATTTATTCGGAAATATTACATTCCTGTTTTTTTTATTTTTTTCATTTTACTTGGAGCGATTTGGTTTTCTGTAATAAACTTTTAATACTAAAGATTGTTTCATTTCTTAATAAAATATATAAATAACATTATATTAATTATACATAAACATTTATCTGCTAAATTTATCACTTAATTGTAATGACTAGAATGCCTCCTGTTAGTTTGCGAAACAATATCATCGAACTGAAATTGCAAATTTTTTGTTGAAAACAAGAATTTTAGTACACAAATACAGTCGTTATTTTCTCAAAATTTATCTAAACTTTGGTAAAACGCTTTTAACAAGAACATTGAAAACTATTTAATTTATAGATAGGAATTTGGTGAAAGTCGTGGTCTGAAAAAGAGGGTGACTTCTAACCCTAATGATGTCAAATGTCTTTCATGTAATTCAGTAATTGGTAACGGTTGGACAATGAATTGAATTATAGGTTTGACATTATACAACACAATATCTACTAGCTAATAATAATGACAATAGGATATAATACATTGTCTTAAGAGTACCTCAACCCAAACTATTGATTAAAACATTACAAGAAACAGTTTGACACCTGCCTTCACATCTGCAGCAGAAGTTGTTAAAATGAACTTTATGCAAACTTCAATTTTTATATAAATCGTTCTGCTTTAATTACAACAACATAGTTCGCTGTTTTAATGTTTCATACATCTGTCTGTTATCTAATGCACAGCAAATAAATGAACAATTCCATTGTGCAATAACAGTTCGATTGTAAACGCAAGAAATACATTTATGATTAAAAACACAACCTTAAATATTATTACAGGTGACTAGTCTGTTAGTTTGTTACGTTTTACGATCATTTATTTATATGTTCATAAACTTCGTATTAATAAAAGATAAATATTTCAACCGTAACTTTATTCTAAAGTTATTATGAGTCAGCACAGATTATACTCAAAGAACGTTATAACCTAAATTTGGCTGTTTAGATAAAATACAGTGCTTCTGAGAAATTAATTTTATGGATCCCATCGCAGGTTGATAAAGTTTAGAATCTTGATGTTAATAACCCCAATTACAAATAAGCTAATTTTGATAAATGAATGATTTTGATAATAATCTTAAACTATTTTTTAATTGAGCACTTTTTGATAAAATCATGTGATTGAAAAAGCCAAAATTGTCTATGTTAATAATCTTAAAGTAACATAAATATTCACATATCAGAGACTATTTACAAGTTAAAACGTTCACACAAATACCTTGTAATGTAAAGGACGGAACAACGGACACACACTTCCTGCAAGCGACACAAGTGTAAGTTATAAATGCATTAGTCGACCAAGAAGAGTACTGTACGAAAATTTAATATAAAATTTTGGCCGAAGTATTTTAAAAACTAAACCACAGCTTTGGTTCTCTCGGCACTGAACACAAGCGTCTTTGGCGTCAAGTCCATTATTATTCTCTGCGAAACTTAACTCCAGTCCCCGGCGGTGTCCCTGACCTCGTTATTCTCGGTTGGCTTTTCTTCCAATTCCCCGGGTAAGTAATCCTTCCAACTCCGGAATAAGTACCTTGTGAATTTCCGTAATTGTCGAAATTTACAGTAGGTAGCTCCTTCAGCCGACTGCAGCTGCTGCGTTTGTATGAGGAATCCTTTCTCCTTGAATGTCTGCTCCAATTTCTCTCTCTGTAGACTCTTTCTGCTCTTTCTCTTTTTTTTACTCTCTTCTTCTTTGAAGCCCTCTTTCGGTTTTGTATCTACGGAAAGTTCTCCGGTCTGTTGGCTCCTGGCTTGATTGTTTTGTAAATACTCATATCCTTTGTTCCCCTTGTTCCCGCCACTGTAGTACCGAAAATTTCCCCCCGAATCCACTGAGAGCANCTCCAATTTTTCTCTCTGTAGACTCTTTCTGCTCTTTCTCTTTTTTTTACTCTCTTCTTCTTTGAAGCCCTCTTTCGGTTTTGTATCTACGGAAAGTTCTCCGGTCTGTTGGCTCCTGGCTTGATTGTTTTGTAAATACTCATATCCTTTGTTCCCCTTGTTCCCGCCACTGTAGTACCGAAAATTTCCCCCCGAATCCACTGAGAGCATCTTTTTCTCTTGTAGCGAAGGCTTAGATCCGCCCGTGAACTTGAACTTGCATATACTCACTTCAGTAGTGGGGGTGGTGGAATTGCTTTTGGTTGGAACGGGAGGAATAAAGATTGCGGATCTCTTCCTCTTCACTGGACCTTGGATTGGGTTCGGAGAAGCCCTTTTCATCTTTGCCTCTGGACTCTTTTTAGCATCTTCGAGTCTGTCGATAAGTTTCGGATCTAATAAATCAGTTATCTGCTTGAGGACGAGTTTTGTATCCGCATCCTGTAGAGGGGAGGGAGCGGGAGGACAGATGCTGGTGTTCCTTTGTATGACAGAGATGGCGTTAGGCTGTTCGCTTTTGCAAGACTCCGGATCTGAGTTATCGGCGTCGTCGGACTTCACGTCAAGCAGCGAAGTGTAAATATTGCCAAATTTCTTCTGAATCTGAATTTTAAGGTCGCGTAGATCTCTGATGCAGAGGTTAAGTGGCTCGTCGTGTCCGATGAGTGCCGGAGTGGAGTACTGCGAGGGAGAGGCATTCTCCATTCTTCTCTTGTTTTCTTGCGAGAGCTTTCGTTCCATTAAATTAGATATAATCTTGTTCTGTAAGTCAGTCTTGGGGTTGATCGGTTCTCTGAAGGGCGACGGTACTAAGTTGAGCCCTTCACGTGGCGAGGGCTGTCCGGGGACTACAGTTCCGTAATTTTCGTAAATAAGATGACAGATGTCAGCCTTCTTCGGCTTTCTTCCCCGGCGCGGCTTGGAGTTGTTGAGTGTCATCTCCCCCATGTATGGCAGGTCGTCGTAGGTGACGATCTTGCTGGGCGCGATGGCGGGATTCTTTTTCCTCTTATCTTCCGTCCGATCTTGCCTGAGTGGCATCATGCTGGTCGGCAGTGCGTCGGAGAGTGCGAGGACAGTGTTGTTCTGTATTGAGGCGAGGCGCTGCGCCCAAACCTTAAAGGCTTCGTTGGTGATATTGTTGACGTCGAGAGCCGGTTCGGGCTTCGGTTTCTCCTTCTGTTTCTGTTTCGCGTTGGCTTTCTGCAAGCTCTGCTCGTAGTGGTCAAGGTATTCTTGGGGCAACGCCTGATGATGGAACTTGAGCTTCCATCGGTTCTTCTGTCTATTCCTGTGTTTTGGTTTAGGTTGTTCAGACTTTTCGGCGGATCGCTCCTTGCTGGCTGACAGTAGCTGTTGGCGGAGTAACTCCTTGTTTTCGGAGCTTCTGGAAGCAAAGAGAAAACCCTTTCATATTCATGAAGTAACTTAACGCTGAATAAACTGACTTTCAGAAAAGCTAAAAACAAATGCAGTGGTATTTATTCTAAGAAGGTTTTGAAACTTTTATGTCCCTTTTGTGAAGAATTTGAACAATATAATAAAAATAAATAAAAGTGACTCACGCGCAGAGCGTCGGTGCGGGACACACGTCCGCGCACGCCACGCGCCGCATCACTTCTGTAACAAAACACGAACATATCAATAATAATACCTTTATTATTATAAAGTATTTATATCTTTACATCAAAGGGAAGGGAATTTTTCCCGAAAATAAAGATGCAGTGGTTCACAGACAAGGTAATATCATATCTACGTTTATGTGATTTTTTTTTTATATCTTAGGTGGGCGGACGAGCTCACGGCCCACCTAGTTCTAGGTGGTTACCGGATCCCATAGACATCTACAACGTAAATGCCGCCACTCACTCTCAGTATTGTCACAACGGCTACCCCACCCTTCAAACCGAAAGGCATTACTGCTTCACGGCAGAAATAGGGGGGATGGTGGTACCTACCCGTTCGGACTCACAAGAGGTCCTACCACTAGTAATATATAACCGCGCAATATAACACAAAACTGAACTTGTGCTAAAATAGCGTCCTGGCCTGAGATGATGCTCATGGCATCCGCCATAAAAAGCAGCTTAAGATTTATTTAAATTAATTGTTGTAAATTGATAGAGAGGATCACGTTTACCGCGTATTTAAATGATAGTAGACAGGTAGACAATAAATAGATAGGATAGTGGTAATGTGAGTATTCTTTCACCATCGGCTTTCATCTGTCACCCACAATCTTAATATTACCATTACACGATAATATCATTCAGGGGCGTTCGTTATTCACTTAAGGGCCCTGAGAGAGAGAAGGAGGGTTTCACAACCTACATAAGCTCACGAGGGAGGGAGAAAGGGGTATAATCTATTCTGAACTAAATATCTTCCACTTCGAAATGTGTACCTTCTAATAAAGAATTATCGACATTTCAGAGCAAAACGTGAAAGCCACTATTTATTGTATTTATTATTTCATTTGTGATGTAGTTTTATTGACATAATGTTATTGTGGAATACTGATTAAGTGGAAAATATTTTTGAAACTTGTCCATTCCAGTTATGTACCATATACATACATACTTTATATTTTAATAAATAGCGATAGCCTGCCCTTCCCGAACCCCACTAATCAACTAAGGCTAAAGCTTATCTTACTTGTTTACAGCGAATCTCTAAGTAGACCTTACCAATTTTATTATATTATTTTTAGTGTATTTTATTTGTTAGAACATTAAAAAAAATCAAACATTACAATTCTAATCTTTAAATTATTTGATAAGCCTTTGAAAAACAAAACAAAAAACTATTTTTATTATTGCAGTTAACTCAAGCAACAAACATATATTATATTGGCCATCTGTGGCGGCATTTGTGAATTCTCTGAGAGCATTGAGTTGCGAAATGGGCGCCGAGCGTTCCCTCTAGTCCCTCTTGAGATATTTCGGGCGTTGTATTCGTATGCTCTCATTTCTGTACATTGTCTTACCATGTTTAGTATTTATATTTGGATTTAATTACGAAATCGGACACTGTATTTCTTGCGTAGTAGTAATACAGGTGATGTCAGGGTAGTCACGGCTGACATAAAATTGTCACTGGAGTCAATAGATACCACAGTCTGTGGTCTAGAAAGAGACGAAGTCAGGTAGGCAGGAGAGTTGGACAAGAAATAGAACTTCGTGCGACATCTTTGAATCATGCCGTATAGACTTTTATCATGACAAATCATCTGATGTCCATAATAATAGAAACATTTCACACGTAACCAAAAGAATTGCGTGTGTTATGCGGCTGGCGTCGTGCCAGATGCCGGGTCACCATTCAGAGGAATTGGGTTAATGTCTGATTATAAAGAAAAATGTTTGGACGCTTTAAGGAAACGTAGTAAAAAAAACTAGCAAAATAGTGCACAAATGAGCTGCCTTTCAATTGTACTATGTATTATACATTTCAATCATGACGTGCATTTGTTATCGAAATACGCCACAGCAGACTGATCTCGTCTCACGGCAGGCAGCATTACGTGCGCGTTCAATCAAAGGTATGCAAGCGCTTTCTCAAAGTTAGTAATGACAGCTACTTAATAATGCTACTGAACTGTAACAAGAGCGTAAGAAGACTTCATGTAACACTGTTCTACTAAACTACTATAATCATTCACTTGCAGAGCCTCAGAGATGTTCTGTGACACGTCATTAGAAATATTTTAAAATTCAAACTTAAAAATATGACTTTTTTTCTTTCTCTTTCTTTTTCCTACCTAAGCTGATAGCCTTGAGAGGCTATTTCAGCGTAACCTTAACTAGTAGGTGAGCTCACGGGGCTCAAACCGGAGTGATGCTAACACTGACCTTAGNCTATAATCATTCACTTGCAGAGCCTCAGAGATGTTCTGTGACACGTCATTAGAAATATTTTAAAATTCAAACTTAAAAATATGACTTTTTTTCTTTCTCTTTCTTTTTCCTACCTAAGCTGATAGCCTTGAGAGGCTATTTCAGCGTAACCTTAACTAGTAGGTGAGCTCACGGGGCTCAAACCGGAGTGATGCTAACACTGACCTTAGCAAGACCAGTGCTTCGCAAAATCTACCACCGGATCGGAAACGCGACTCACTGAGAAGATCCGGCGAAAAACTCAGTGTGCTGTGTCTATGGGTTAATTCGCTCGTCGAGCCCTTCGTCGCAAGCGACGGGTTCTACGAGGACGCTGACCGGATATAACGTTAATAAAGGTCATCGGACTTCATAATACTAACGAAAGTTTCAGTATTTAAGATTCTCGGACTTAGTATTTGTTGTGGCTGCCTTACTTCACGGCAATAATGCAACGTTTAAAGCAAATCAAACCAAATACAATCCAAAACATCCAGTAAGTTAAGTGAAAGTGAAAATAGTTTTCAACTGTAAATCTAACCTTCTGCTCTTGTAGTAAGATATACAATTGAATAATAAGACGTAAACATTAGTGAATGTCAAATGCGTGTTATAGAACACGCAAATACCTACAGCTCGTGTTTTGTTGTTCGATTGATTAAAACAAAAAAGAAACACGCTACATGTGAACAGCGAAACTTGAGTAATAATTTACAAACCGTTTACATGTAATGCAGGTTAAAATTTCTAGGAATATCAATAATCGAAAAAGCCAGTACCTAAGCCTATATAATTAAAGGTTCTCGCATTTTAATTGAAGATACGTCAAATCCCCTGTTTCTACTCGACATACTTATATTAACCATTCAGCATCAGCACTGCACTCACAGTTCCAGTATACTTTTTGAGAACTGTTCTCAAAAACTCTGTATTATTGCTGTATACCTCTCTGACCACCAAAAGGAATGAGTAGCGAGACAAAACTAATTTGATTACCGAACAACAAAACATCAAAAAGGCCTCACACACTTTTATTTGGCAATATTTGGACGCAGATTGAAAATACACTAAAGCTAGAACTACACTGGATCGACCAGCGGATAAATTTTATCATTACTCGACAAAAATACGAAATAGCATTAATATTCTGGGGTTATCATGAATCTTGGAGTTATTAAAACGTTTAACGCAATACTTTTACGTTGTTATCCATGGTCTACCATACCTATACCTATATAATAATCAATTATTTTTTTAATTCATTTTTACTAATTACTGTTTTTGTAGTCATTACAAAGCGTTCACCTTCAATGTACTTTTTTAAATTGCAAGGAATTTCAGAGATTTGGTTTTAGATAAGTCATATTTATGCATATGCCTGAATAATATCTTTTCTCCTGAACGTCAAACGTCAACTCTCTGATTCCTCAAGATACAGAAGAAGATTAGCTGGTTTTTAAGTCGTATGTAATACGGATGCGTTCCCCTAATGTAGTTCTAACTTTACGACGAGAACCCACGGCCTAAAAACTAGTGATTAATATGTAATGAGCGAACATTATAAGGGAATCATAATGGTTATACTTATAAGGTATAATGTTGAGATGAATTCTTGCCTATGAATCATCGTGTGTAGGATTCGTATCGCTTTTGTTATATGATAATTTTTATTAATAAGTGTCAGTACATATTAAGTAGATAGTTAACAATGACAGATGGTATCAGACGTCCCTATACTAATTATTATACGCGTGTAGGATCACCAGTAAATAGCACTGTGTATATGGCGCGTCTGAAAGTTGCGAAGTTATTAAAAAATACTTGTGTTTTATTCTTTCCACTATCGTCAAATTTTTTATATGTTTCCGCGAACGTAGGCTAGATTGAAATAATTAATAACAAAATACTGAATCCAATTATCTTCTTAACAAACTGTTGTTTAAATGCATGCAACCTCTTCTTTTATGATAATGTTTGAGTTATTTAATAAGTATAATTCTTGTCATACTTATATCGAATAAATTTAACTATGAGTATAACTCTGACTGTGTTGTTTGTTGACAGCGACATTAAGAATAAAAACGCGGCTGCCCAAAATTTACCAGAATAGGTACTCAATACACAGATAATTCCTAAGTTTTCCTTTCATCCTTTTGTAATGTCCGGTTCCACAGCGAACCGCCAAATTTAATTAAGCACGCAACTAAAAAGTCTGATTAAATCTTATCATCTAGTTGCATTATCAGTGTGATTTATTTCCAGAACGTCCCACCTCAATTTGCTAGTTACCACCACTGAGGCCATGTCCACTGGCGACATTACACTTTTTTCCGTGTTCTGAAAGCTTTTTTTTTAATTGTTCCATCGAGGTAAATGTGCGCATGAAGTTAGTAGTTTATCGTTTTTAGGCTTCAAGAATTGATCCCTTATACCCAATACCGTCTTTACCATAAGGGCACACGGGGCCCGTGCCCAGGGCCCCCATTCTCAGGGGGCCCCGAAAGACCGACAATTTCTCTCACACGTTTACTCTCAAAACATTTTTGTCGGGCACATTACACTTTTTTCACAATTCAGTAATCAGAAGGTATTTACAAGGCATATACTATGACTATAATAGAAGATTTTGCTCAACAGAAATCCCGAAAGAAACCGTTATCGAAATCGTAACCAAAAAACCAGCAGCATTCTAATATCATTAATGACATATTATATCATACTGTATTTGATGATAAATGATAAATTGATAAATAAATACTCAGTAAAAAAATATTATTATAATTCGCTTTTTTTACTTTCCAAAAGGGCCTCAAATTCTTGTGCGCCCAAGGGCCCCATCCTAGTTTAAGACGTCCCTGCTTATACCTATCCTCTACAAAATGTAATGCGATTACGAATCTACCAATCATACTCAATTTTTTTTGCCGTATATTTTATTGCCAATATCTTCAACAGAGTAATAACCTTCTTAAATGCAATTCTCGACCGCAAATAATTTTATATTTAGTCATACCAAGATGTCGGCTCCCAAATCGATGGTATAAAATTGGAAAAGTAAACGAAATATGAAAAATTATGTCGAACAAACAGTTCCAAAAGTTTTTAAGCTGCGACAAACACTAAATAATTTGGTAAGAGCAAATTTCGAAAACAAAATGTGATAACTGACATCGGCTGGATGCGTTTTGTTTGAACAACGGTGCGAATAGGGCTGACCGTGGATAAATCAGTATTTATTCTTTGAGCAACACGTGCATGGCGATTTCGATAGGCGACAGTGGGTATCTAAAGTATTTGTCGCATGTAAAGTAACCCCACTTTATAATCTGTTCGATTCCCTATTTCACATAATTTCAAACCCGCACGGACAGAAGGAAGCGTCCTAGTCGTTTCTGTCAAAAGTCAACTTTAATTCACTTGGATAAGGGCTAAATTAGCAAAAGTATACCTATGATTTCAAATGACTACTTCCCATAAGCACCGTCACGTTTATACCAGATATACTTTTGAATTAGTTTTTAGTTTTAAGAGAAAATGAGAAAACAATTTGCACCGATTGAAATAACACACTTTTCTGACAACCCTAAAACGATGAATCAGAGAGCCAGTTGACACTCCGTATTTGTTATTCAGGAGGCTGTCACCACCGGGTAATGAGCTAAGTAAACAGTTTGATGAGTCGAACACACATGACACCGATAATTTTTGTTTCTTCGTTGCTTAACTTTTTATTAAATTGGTAAAAAATATATATTTCTAAATCCACTGAATGTGCTATATCTATATGAATTTTGTAAATAGAGAAAAGGATTCATTGGCTAAATTGAGCCAATACTTTAGCAAATTCATGACGTGACATGTTTTAATATTCAACTACATAGTGTCTTTTAATAACATATAAGATGTTATTAATGATTTGAACTAAATTAATTAATAAATAATATATTAAAAAAACTAACAAAATAATAAATTTTAATAAATTTTAATTAAAAATAGTGTAAGAAAAAATGATTTTATTGCAAAAAAAGCGTGGGATGCTTTTCAGGATATTATCAAAATAACTCTTCTACTCATATCTGTTCATAAAATATTTATAGCTACTGATATAATGCATTTTTAATTCAAATTTATTCAAATTTATTTTCTACTTTTTAGTTGGATTTTCTATAAAAGCGTATTTTGTAAGTTTTTTAAACTATTTATTTATTTTTAATTTTTTTAGTTAAATTTAATTTTTTTCTATATTTTTTTCAATATTAAATTGTCACCGGTCCATAACAAGTATACCAAAATTAGAGTTAATCCGACGTTTTAAAGGGGGTCAAAATGATGTTCAAAGATTCTGTTACATACTAACATAGGTACATACGTCTGAAGCTAATTATGAAGGTATTAAAATAGATGGTAATTTCTAAAGAATATTATTGCAGTGGGAGAAATTTACCAGCTGTACTATCTTATATTCGTTTTCCTGAGCGGCTCTCTTATCAGTAAGTACAGCACACCGCGATACGGGCTGACGGTCTAAATAGCTAACAGAATTTTGCTCATCAACACTGCAAATGTATAAGTTTTCATAGTCTAGATATGTTTCATGGTGTATATATGTGTATAGTGCCTTTGCCCAGTCTGCAGGTTGCGCAATTGATATCCTTAATGTTATGATATCTTTTTAAATCAATTACGAAGAAAAAAATGTCAAAGCGCTGTTGGAAGTAAAGTCGCGGAAAAAACCTAGCGCATGACAAGAATTTTTCTTAACTTTCGTTTTTTTTGTTTCCTACCTATGCTGATAGCCTTGAGAGGCTATATCAGTTTACCCTAGCGTGTGTAGGTGAGCTCACAGGGCTCAAACCGGAGAGTTGCTAACACTGACCCTAGCAAGAACAGTGCTTCGCAGAATCTACCACCGAATCGGAAACGCGATCCACTGAGAAGATCCGGCGAGAAACTCAGTGGGCTGTGTCTGTGGGATGATACACGAATGTCTTTTGATATGATGATTTCAACAAAAACATTTGATGGTATATTTATGTTTGCCTGCGAGCATGTTCCCTCAAGCAATCAGATTTATGTTTTTAAAGGTTGTTCTTAACGTAGCTAATCCATTGTTTATTGTTCAATGAATTTGATGAATCAAATTACCTAGAGAGAGTTCAATTTTAACTCACATTTTTATGCTAAGCACAGTTATTTTAGCAAATTAATATAACTTTTTATGAATTATAGTTTTTTGTCAGTGAAATAAATGTAGAGTCGATCTAGTATTGCAGTTTCGAAGACTATATCTATGTATATCTTCTTTATAATCTTAGTATATAATGTATCTTATAGTACAGATATATGAAAAAAAACCTCTCTATAGAATCCATTAATTAATTCAATTCGATATACAGTCAAAAGAATTTGGATTTGATAGATAGATCTTAGAGTCGATTACAATTATTAGACCACGCGAGAATTATAATGTTATTAGCATCTACTCCTTCTTATTTTTACCTATTAATCGTTAAGAACGATTTTTTTAAAAATTGATGTTTCCCTCTTTGCGCTATTGGATCCAACCTTTCTGGCATATCTTCCTTAAAAACCTCTTGCTTTCAACCCGAAGGAGCATAGAAATTAGCGAATAAAATTAGTAGAAGTTAGCGAATAAATTCAAATTCAAAATTCAAATTCAAAATCATTTATTTCAACTTGGATGTCATCAAAAACACACTTGTTGAATGTCAAAATGTAAAAGAAAATGTGAACTCTACCACCGGTTCCAAAAAAAGCCACAGTCCTGAGAAGAACCGGCGAAACAAACTCAGCGGTTTTTTTTTTTTTTTGTATTTTCTCAACTATTTTCTTTTTTTTTTTTTTTAAACAAGAAAGCATATTTACCGTATACGAAAAAACAAATCAAAAAAATACAATTCAAATAAATAATAATAATAATGAAAAACTAAGGTTAATAAAAAAAAAAAAGGTTATGAAGCTCCTTCATTGGACAGATTATCTAGAATTATGAGCTTGAGGTGGTCTAGGTCGCATATCAGATTATCAATCAGCTGATTATATTATTGTTCAGAAAAAATACAAATTATTTAAAATTTAATTGAATATAGAAGTGTGAGTTTATTTGAAGTAAGTACTTTGTCCGTTTCACTGGTAAAGATGACATAGTATATGACCTCAATTGTGCATACGTCCGGCTATTTATTAGTGAGTGATGATTCATTGATGCTCACCGATACAGGGGAGACAGGGACACGCGTTTTGTAGTAAATATGATATGTAGACTGAAAAACGTAGCTAAATTTCATTAGCGTTGTCTAAACGGTTTTTGGTTTTCTTTAAAAAAGTATTCATGAAGTCTCAACTGATTTTATTTTTTATAGCTTAGATTGGCAGACGAGCTCACGGCCTATCTGGTGTTGAATGGTTACCGGAGCCCATAGACATCTACAACGTAAATGCCGTCATCCACCTTGAGACATGAGTTCTAAGGTCTTACTTTTAACAGTGCAACGGTTGCCCGCCCTTCAAACTGAAACGTAATACTGCTTCACGGCAGAAATAGGCAGGGTGGCGGTATTTACCCGAGCGGACCCACAAGAGGTCCCACCACCAGTCAGTTTGCTTGCAAAAAAATGTTTGCATCGTTAAAACATCTCAGTGACCAGGGAAGCTGAAAAAGATTTGAGACGATTGTAACAGAGAAATTGGCGGTTTTTTTTAGAATTGTTTCGTCCGATTTACAGACCTCTGCTGAATATGATATTGACTTCATTACGTAAGTCATCTTTTGGGGTCGTAACAAACAACGAACTAACCACAGATTATACACGAACAATGTGATTAGCCACATATGACGTCATGTGTTGTTACTCGCGTTTGCTTTTACGTAAATAACGAACATTAAACGTAAGTATTTATGGAATTTGTTTGGTTATTTAATATTGTTTTTTATCTCTGACATTATCGCGCCTGCTAAGTAAAATTGGTACACTGCGTGTTCACTACAAAAAATTAATGAGATTAACGCGTATTGTTTGTTTTGGAGACGAAAACATTTTCAGTTTAATGAATAATTTGTAATCTCATACAGTAAACATATCCAAAGTACAAACATGAATTAATAAAATACAAAATTTATTACTTGTTTCTTAGGAGCACGATTCAATATAAAGAGCGTCTTGATATAATATTACGATAAGGTAACGTACGCGCTTTGCCCTACATTGATAACTAGGATCTTATTATTGACACTCACTTATAAATAGTACGCCCGTGTTACACACTGCACTATCCTAAAATCGGTGCCACTCTGTAACGTTGCTGTCCATCCAACAAGTGGGACACTGTGGTGGTAGGTCCCATGGTCAATGCCCAGGCGCCACAAATTGTTTCGTAAACAATCTTATCAATTAGGAAAACATTGTAGAAACATAAACATTCACTTATACAACACAAACGAGTTAATTAACGTGAAATATTTGGTTACAGCACGCTAACGACCAATAATTAACACAAAACGAGCCGCTTAATCAACCGTTCACGATTGAACTCTCATCGATAGAGCGAGAAACCGAATCGAAGGCAAGTAAATTATCGGAACATGCAAATAATCACCTCCTTCGGGCAACATGTGTGACATCCAAGTCCGTTTGATAGATCACTGTAAACACGAATGGTTCATTGACAAACGCGCGTACGCAGCAGGGGCGGCGCTCGCGTGCCGACTGCAGTGGTGCACGCGACGCGTTATCAGAGCGGGGCGCTGCGTGCGGCTGCGTGCGGTCGTGTGCGGCCGCGTGCGGTCGTGTGCGGCTGCGTGCTGCGCGGAGGACGGCCGAAACGCTCTAATCTAAATACAGACAACGGACGCGGCCCCGACCAAAATCGCTCGTATTACTTTCGGTTTCCATACGGCCTAAATTTAGAGGGCGCTCGCTACAGAAATAAAAACGGTTTTTTTACGTGTTTTTTTAGTCGGGAACAGTGAACGTTTCGCACCGTCTGGTGGTGTGCCAGCGGCGAGCGCTCGCGAAACCCGAGATACGTGCCATATTTGGCAAACGTTGGCGCGCGATCACAAACGGTTTTGGATATTTAGTTTCGACGGGTCGGGCGCGCGCGGGTCGCTCCGCCCGTGCGCTAATTTCAGCCCCTTCCTTCTCGCTACATGACACGAGTCTCCGTTACCTGCCTCAGCTAAACACTGCCATTTATGGTACGATCGTTTAGGATCGATTTTCCTAATAAACATATAAATCTTCAATCTAACTCAATTTCACTGACCTACATCAAACTAAAGTGGAACTCGTTCAGCTTGTACACTTAATTACCGAACTAGGGTTGTATTGTGTCGATATAAGGTATTTATTTTGGATTCCGCTTATGGTAAATGTTTACACTGATTTGGGTACTTTTTTTTTCTTTTCCCTACCTATGCCTTGAGAGGCTATTTCAGCTTCGCCCTAGCATGTAAGTGAGCTCACGGGGCTTAAACCGAAGTGTTGCTAAAACTGACCCTGGCAAGAGCAGTACTTCGCAGAAAGACGAAGAAACTCAGTGGGCTGTGTCTATGGGGTGGGTAGTGCAGTCCCAGTAGGTCTACCGATAAATGATATTATGATGTATTAAGCATCACGTTACTGTTCTTAGTTTACGATTACTCACAGCTGTGAATAAAGCTATAAACCCATATTTTGATTAGTCAGTAGACGTGTATTCGCGAATCTCGGGCGCGGTTTCTGAAACTTTAACTATTTATTTGGCGTGTATTACGTAATACAATTCTGCCTTTTTCTGCCGCGAACCAATCGTGCGTTTGTATTTAAACGTTTGGCTGTACTCAGGGACGTCTCAAACTAGGATGGGGCCTTTGGGCACACAAGAATTTGAGGCCCTTTTGGAAAGTAAAAAAAGCTAATTATAATAACATTTTTTTACTGAGTATGACCATTTATTATAGGTAATCAAATACAGTATGATATAATATGTCATTAATGATATTAGAATGCTGCTGGTTTTTTGGTTACGATTTCGATAACGGTTTCTTTCGGGATTTCTGTTGAGCAAAATCTTCTATTAAAGGCATAGTATATGCCTTGTAAATACCTTCTGATTACTGATTTGTGAAAAATGTGCCCGAAAAAATGTTTTGAGAATAAACGTGTGAGAGGAATTATCGGTCTTTCGGGGCCCCCTGAGAATGGGGGCCCTGGGCACGGGCCCCGTGTGCCCTTATGGTAATGACGGTATTGGCTGCAGTTATACAATACTATTATGAGTCCGTTTATTATGTCTCAATATCGCGGCGATGTTTGTGTTCTGATGACCTTGCGCAAAGGATCTTGAGGTCGTCCGTCCTCGGTCATTATTTAATTAAAAAAATATTTAAAATTTAGTTACTTTAATTCGTAATTATAACTAATCTCAGTAAGCTGTAACTATACTTGAGACTTTAAATCTTATATCTCAAGATGGGTGGCGCATTTGCGTTGTAAATGTCTATGGGCTCCAGTAACCACTTAACTCCAGGTGGGCTGTGTGCTCATCCATCCAACTAAGCAATAAAAAAAAGGTTCTAAAAAACAATCTTATAAATAAAAATAAAATTATAGAAATTTATATAAAGTTTGAGAGCCTCTGAATTAATCAATTTTAGATCCACTTTTGTTCTCTTACGTCGCAGCGTCGATGTTTAATTTTATACGTATCCAATTATCGTTAACACGAGTTTGTCCTTATATAGAACATCATTCACTTGTCATGACTGCCTTATAATTTGTTAACCAATTCAAAGATATTGATCAAAGACGCTAATGTGAAATATCATAATGTTTTTTTTGTGCTTTTGTTTATTTTATAATTACAGCAAAAAATTAAGCAGATTCTTTTAAAGTTAATTCTCATTCGATTAGAAGAGTATTGAGGTAGGTTCGATTTTGTGTTGAAGTACAGACTGACTAGTTGGTGGTACAGACTTATAGACGTTGCGTCACCAAACGAATTTTATTAAGAAGTTGATCTCATAGTCCAATTGTTCACCGGAGTCGGTATCAAACATATCAATTATTACAATTATTATCTATATAATATATTAATACGTGACACAAAAACTTTGTATCCCTTTTTACAAAAATCGCGTGGACGGAGGAGTATGAAATTTCCCACGCTTATAGAGAATATAGAGAAGGAGTGTACAATGCTAAAAATTTTTTAAATAATGCATAAAAAATACATTAAGCCAATAAAGAAAACATGTATTTGACACACGCACGCATTTATACTATTTTGTTTATTGTTAAAGTCTGTGGTCAAGTTTAAACCAGATTAATATTGATTATTATTTAATATTATTTGTTTACAGTGTAGCCTTAACGAAATCTGTGATTATAGAAGTCTTTGACAATAGAACCATAATAATGTTCAAACTTATAATTTAAGTTAATAATTATAGTCGAATTTCGACTACCGGGCGACCACTAGTCATAACAATTACTTTATGTATTCAAATATTCTTCACAGACGTTTTGGAATCGTCGTGTCAGTACCACCGACCCAGAAAGCAGTTTCAGTATTAAGAAGATGCCACAAGGGCTTGCACCTGTAACGGGCAGCTGTCATAGAATACAAGATATTTGATAGATGCCTGAATCTCGCTAACGACATTTCCGGGATCAGCTCGCGTATTTAAAATTTTCAAACAACAGTATTTAGATTGTCTACCGAGCAACTACAACCGATCGGTAAAAGATCCTCCCTCTGTCGTATCGCCCCAACACTTTTCCAATATATGTAACAGCATCCGACAATAGCATGTGATAAGCACGGTTAGAACTAGAACAAGTCTGCCTTACTGAATACTAACCGAAGATCCATTCAGTGCTGCATTAATTCCACACGGAGCACAATTTCAAACATGGATATTACAACGCAATATCGTGTGGGCGAAGTCGCGATGGTGTTGTGTAACAATTGTTTTACCCTCTAAACCGGAAGAAATTATTGATTTGCTGCAGAAGCATGTAGTTCAATAAGCACTCAATCGAGTTCACGAAGAGTCCTAGCGCAAGGACATATTAGGACCTCTTGTGAGTCCGCACGGGTAGGTACCACCAGCCTATTTTTGCCGTGCAGCAATAATGCGTTTCGGTTTGAAGGGTGGGGCAGCCGTAGTAACTATACTGAGACCTTAGAACTTGTACCTCAAGGCGGGTGGCGCTTTTACGGTGTAGATGTCTATGGGCTACAGTCACCACTTAACACCGGGTGGGCTGTAAGCTTGTCCACCCATCTAAGCAATAAAAAAATATAACTGTGAATTTACTAGATTATATTTATTTTAAATTTATGTTTATAGGTTACCGCTACAGATGTTTAGGCTCAAAGCAGTAACAGCGCATTTGATGGTAGCCTTTAGGTGCTCATAGCCAATGGCGCTCAAGATAGCTTCATGGCAATAACAGACAGTACGTAATATTTATTGGGTCTATGAGTGGTCATTATTTTAAGATTCTAGCTACCGATTTGTGCTATTTGAGTCGACTATTATCAAAGCCGGCAATCTGACTTTTGGATAATTATTGGTAAATCAGAAAAACGAATTCATTTCATTCCGATAGAGGCACCCGTCACGCGCGGACGTGCTCATCGACCACTCGATCGCCCGGCCTTTGTTCGCCCGGCTTTTGTTAGCCCGGCCATTGTTCGCGCGGCCTGTGTTCGTGGTACATCTGCCGACCAAGTGTTTTTCCTGGAAGTTTTTATGTGTTTGGTTTCCTTTTGTTATTTCTGTGTTCGTGGTACATCTGCCGACAAACTGTCTTCCTGGAAGTGTTTAATTGTTTTGTTTCTTTTTGTTATTTCCGTTTTGTTGTGATTTTTCTTTGTCCTGCAGTAATCGTGCCGCATCGCCACCTGTGTTCAATAGAACCGCTCAGGTCCGAGAAGTTGGGGCCTCAAGGCGCAAGGCGAGTGTTTTCTAAGACCCAGGGTAGCCCCACCTGGGCACGTAGACATCATGGACGCTGTATTTGCGGAATTTCTCCGGCTTCGCTACCCAAAGCTCACTTCCGAGTTTCAGGCCTTCAAGGCCGATCACACAGCGAGCCCTCTCGTGGACTCCGCCGAGCTCGCTGCTCCTGCGTCGCCTGTACCTTCGTGCAAAGCTTNATTCCATTGGCAGTCACAAAACTCTTCGGAACGACATCTTAGATAAATAACAGGTTAACTATTAACCTTTATTTAATGCAGGTTTTGAACCGTATTCTTTGAAGGAGACGATTATATTCAAATCAATCTGTATTGACATATCAATAACATTTTTTTGTCCAAATGCACAGATTGCCACCTTTGATAATAGACGACTCATTTCTAGTATGAACAATGACGATTAAAGCTTTGGGGATATTGTTTTGTTTTTCGTTTATAAATTAATCTTTTGAACTTTTTACTATTTTCTTTTTTCTCAGTAAGAAAAGTGCTTAAACAAAACACGTATCTCAATCTTCTATTGTTCACGTCTAGTATAACTACTATATTGTGATCTTAATTTGTTGTACCCAATTCGATATTCAAGACCTGGTTAAAACAGTCGATAGGACAGAAGATTTATATATTTTTTATTGCCTTATAGGCAGACGAGCATACGGCCCACCTGATGGTGAGTGGTTACCGTCGCCCATGGACTTCAGCAATGCCAGGGGCAGAGCCAAGCCGCTGCCTACCGCTTAATACTCTCCACAAGCCTATTCTAGCT